GGCATTATCAATTCATCTCCAACTAGCCTGTCATTTACTATGGTAACGCTTGACCCGGTATCCACCAACATGGATACACCGTAATTTCCCACGTGGCCATAGATCCTGGCGACACAGAATCTATCCACAGCGGTTGTACACGACCTAATTTCGGTATGTTCCGGCATAAGCACATCCCTGGCGACACATAGACCCCTATCCGATTTCAGCGTACTCATTCCCTTTTTCGGCCTAGGTGCATCCCTGGCGACACAGAGATCCCTATCCGATGCTAGCTGGGCTTCTTTTAATGCCGGCATGGGCGCATCCCTGGCGACACAGAGATCCCCATCCGATTCTAGCTGGGCTTCTTTTAAGGGTAGAGCCATACCTGGCGACACAGGTATCCCTACTTCCAGGCTCTTCGTCTACAGGAGATGGTTTACGTTCTTCTGCTTCCTTTCCTTCCACCAAGAAAGCAGACTTTAGTTTGATGACTGATTTTCTGGGCACATCACGGCGATGTGGCCAACTCTTTGGCAAAAGTTGCTGATTGGCTGGCCATCTGTCGTCCTCAGGTTACGACCACGTCCTCGTCCTCGTCCTGAATTCCAGTTTCCTCTTCCGCGACCTCTACTGGCTGTCAATTGCCCAAGCTGGGTAGCCAAGGTGCTCACCTGGGTTACCAGGTCCCGTACTTCGTCTCTTAGAGATGGTTCCTCTCTCAGAGAATTGCATTGTCTGACCGTCAGCTGATTGTTGCATTCTTCACGCTTGGCTGTATTAAATGCCTCCTCCAATGTCTTTGGGTTTGATAACAACACAAACCTTTTGATACTGTCATTGAGCCCTTGAAGGAAGTGTTCCTTTACCAGTGTCTGTCGCTGTTCATGAGGCATGTCACTATATGCTCTGATGGATAATTTGTTTATCTCTGATGCAAAGTCATCAACAGACTGTTCGGCCTTTTGTTTCGCATTAAACAGAGTACTGTAATACATGGACTTTAGTTCTGTAGGCATAAATCTTCTCCTCAAGTGTTGACATAATTCCTTGAAAGTAATGTCTTCGTCTAATGTTTCATAAAATTCTGCGGCTCTGTCTCTTAGGTATGCTGGTAGGATTGCCGTTTTCGTTTCCTCCATCCATCCATTGGCCTTGCTGATCCTATTAAAGTTTTTGATCCATGTATCAACATCATCATCTAATGTTCCATAAAATGGTGTTGGTTTCACATTTATACCCGTGTGTTTGTTTTCCGGTTTCTGGGATTTGGCGCTCACTGATTCTCCGTAATCCTCTTCAATTGGGCCTTTTTGCTTTCGAGAACTTTTTCGGGACATCTTGTTTCGTAAATAGTTCCAAAATTAGTCAAGCACTTTGATTCATTTCAATCCTCTCGATCCCATCACGCTGCCACCAAATGTGACGGAGCCACTGGTTTGACTTTTGTTGTCTTAATAATGAAACAATGCACTGTTCACTATTTACTGTTTATTTACACACATGTTCAATAGATATTTAATAGCAACGTATTTACACAACCCATGTCCAGTAGTTTCTTTCTCTCAGAGTTACGTCCTCTCTCGTGCCCCACACAACACTCAACTGCCCTATCACACCACACAACCTGCCCTATCTCCACTGTAACACACACCACCCTTTGTTCTCATGACACCGGTCATTCTCAATCAACATTCTCCCTAACGGTCCGAACTTTAATTGAAAACTTAATAAAATGTCTAGAACCAAGTAATATGTCTCTACATTTATATCGCAATCCTAATCGTAAACAAATAAACAACTACAGACCCTCCGCAGACACTCACTGATATGTACAGCTGTGGTTGACACAACTCATTAATTAGAACCACTGACCACTCTGACCCTACTGGCCCACTCGACTCTCCTCCTACTCTCAAAGATAACACTTTTTCACACTTGCGTTACAGCAAATAAAGGGAATCACGAAAACCTGAAGGCCATACGGGTGAGGTACTGAACAGTCATACCGGTAAGTAAGGAACTGACCGTCATACCGGAAATCAAGGTACTGACGGTCATACCGGTAAGGTATTGACAGTCATACCGGATATCAAGGTACTGGCAGTCATGCCGGTTATTAAGGTACTGAGTCATACAGATAAAACATTGACAGTCATACATGAAAGGTACTGACAGTCATACAAGTAAGGTGTTGACATTCATACCGGTATTTAAGGTACTGACGGTCATTCAGTTAAGGTACTGGCGGTCAAACAGGTGAGGTACTGACAGTCATACAGTTAAGGTACTGACGGTAAAATGCAGGTAAGGTACTGACGGTCATACAGGTAAGGTTCTGACGGTCAAACAGGGAAGGTGGCTAATTATCACTACTATCCAGTTGTTCAATAATTGTGTTTCTTGGCCTTACTTTTATCATCTGAAGAAGTTCACCAATAGCATTCTGTTTCTCAGGAGGGGTTAAGGTCGATGAAATCCCATTGTGACACGTATCCCCCATTGTCTCACGGACGTGATGGAGAGTCCGATACACAGGTCCAGATTCCTGTAACAAACGAAAATATACATGTACCAAGGTAAACATTTCTTTAACCCGCAAAAGTATACACATGTCAATAAATCGTTTCATTCCCAGGCATATAGGAAAGAGAAATTACATCCAAGTGTTTTTTTCAAATAGGATGAAACCCGAAGGTCGCGAGGGGTTTTACACCAGTTTGAAAGTCACGTGGGTGGGTTTTTTCTCATTTCAGTCACCAGAACTAGCTCAGGAACCACAATGAGGCATCAAGATTTCTGCATTATATATTTTTTGCAAAAAGACAAAGAAGATAGAAATGTCTTACATCTCTCCTCTCCTGAACAGCTATGTCGTATTTGCACAGGAAAGGAGAGAAATGCATATAGACACACTTTAATAATTGATGGTTGGATGAAGACATACTGATGGCAGGATTGAGAAACCTAAGCAGACAGGTTTGGAAAGTTCCCAGCTTTCTACTGAAGTTGGATGTATGTATATATCAAATACCCATGAATCTCGGAAAATGGCAAATTCAACTATATGTTTAACACGACACCATTTCTACTGCATATGCGAATCGAATTTGTTGAATTAGTGTGCGAACACCAACGAAAACAGGCGGCGGCGGCGGCACCTGAATTAATATACTTTTTCTAATAATGCGGACGTCTTTAAATGATGACAATGTATGTACTTACGTTAAATGCGTCAATGAAATACACGGAAAAAGAAACGGAGCATTATAGAAATCCTCAAATGAATTCATATTTAGAACGTTAGAACAATTTGGTAGTAAACAAATATATATCTCAAAGCAAGATACCTGGTTCATCTGAACATATCAAATACATGTCTATACGGATTGCTCGAAATTTCCTGCGTGAAGGCCCGGTTTAAGAACTTTAATGGACATGTTCTATTTTAATTCTCTTTCAATAATGTCTGATGTATTCATTTGATAAATTGTTAAAACTAAAAACTGATCGTTTGAACACTCAATTTTGGTTTGTGGCCGATGGACTGACATTCTTTTACATCTCGGTTTCATACACTTTGTCACGCTGTAATTAACATTTTGTCGTCAAGTTCAGACGCACACAGTTGACGTCTAAGATTCTTTGGTTGTCTTTTGCAATCATGTTCCTCTTCTCCAAGACACGTTTCATTTTTGACTATTCCTTAAAAATTCTAACTGAACTTTCATAAATGGAAGTATGTTTTCAATTGTTCGAGTTGAATGTTGTAACAAACGGTATAATATCATTTTTACTTGTATTGGCAATCTTTTGGTCGATATCGGAAATCGGACCTTCTCCTTATCTTATTCAATACCGTTAAATATAATTTCGTCCGGATAGCATTGTTTAACCGCTCCTCTAACTTAAATTAATCACTGACTATTGGTATTAATTTAGATGACAAACAAAAAGGTACGTTAATCTATGTTGACCTTGAATGAAAACCAAGATAGTTATAGGAATCAGTTGGTTTGCAATACAAATCTGAGGATATGTTTTCGTTTGTTACTGCAACAAAAACGTTTAGAATAGGACGCCTATTATCACTAACTTTCATAGTATGCAATACAAATCTGTAGATATATATTTCCGTTTGTTAATTCAACCAAAACATTTAAAATGTTAATTCACCCCAAACATCTAGCTGATAGTATTCAGCGCCCATTTATGATGAACTGATAGAAAGTTGAGTACATACCAAATCTATTGCTATTCTACCAGCAGTCGCAATTTTGTTGATCAAGATACTCAGGGGAAACCAACAACTTTCTCTGCTCCTTTCTATGCACATTTCCTGAAATCCATTAAATAAGACGACTGTCATTAAAATGTGTACAGCCATTAATTATTTTTTTATCATTGTTGATTAACTTATTCACCCCTACATATCTAAACTGGACTTGCCCAGTCATTGATTTGGTAAGGTTCAAATGTTACTGTAGGGGTGAATGAGTTGACAGTAAATACAGAAACATAAACACTCCGTGAAGAAGTATACTTGAGTATTACGAACCGCAGCTTATAGAAACGACAATATGACAGTGTAATTGGAAAATTGTGAGATGTGTCTCCTTAACAGCATCGTGTGTCTACTTACGTTTGAGGGGTATCTACTCGTCGACTTTAAGTGTGAGGGATGTTTGATTGCCAGCATTATTGATGAGAATGTCTTACTCACAAGCCGGGTTTACGAAGGATACTTACAGCAAGGATCATGAGTGGTTCTAACTCACCAGCCTCATCAGCATGGCTTATGAATGGTGTCTACTCAAAATCATTGGTTATGTGTGGTATATTCTCCAGCCTGGCTTATCAGGGTAAAAGGGATGTCTCTACATACCAGCATGGAATGTGATGATTCACACCAACATGGCTTGTTATTGGTGTCTAGGCACATGCCCTGTTTGTGAGGGATGTCTACTTACCAGAATCAAGTGTTAGGCTATCTAATCAGTTTGTATGTGTGGATGATGTCCTCTTACGTGAGGCGTGAAGTATGCAGGGTGAGTACTCACCAGCATGGTGCTAGCAACTTCTGGTGACGATTCGTGGTACAGGGCGACATCGTATACAAACATATACTCCAGCCACCTACTGACATGCCCTGCTCTCATGGTCTGTGTGAATGCACTGATGCATGCATCCGTCCCGCAAGCTAGAAGACCATCGTGAAGGTAGTCCTGCTCCAGTGTCTGGGAACGTAACACAAAGACCAATATGTAACGTATAAAATATGTTTAAACTATTACTTCCATTATAAACTCCTTTTCCCAAGTCTTCGCCCCCGAAGACAATTCTATTTACAACCCAGGTTCTCGTATCCCCTAGCATAGCGTATACCTTGTACTTGAAACAAGTTGTGTTCACCAACATCATTGTAACAGGATCGGGAAAATGCGAGGTCAGACAGGGATTCCAACTCAGGACCCTCAAAATCTAATCGGAAGCTCTAACCAAATGAGCTTCCTAGGCGCCAGTGATCGACCCAGTTCAGTTCCACTACATTTGTAATTTAACTTAATCACTGTCTCGTTCTGTACCCCGAACAGTCTCATTGATACGACCCGTTCTCATTACATCCCTGTGCACGTGTATCATCTGGGATGTATTAGACGCGAATTTTGATTTGTTTAAGAGAAAAACTCCAGTGCAGTTTTATTTTGACATAAACTTCATAAAATTACACTATAACAGTACTTTCGGTTCATGCGCTATCCCCGAAACACTTTACTTAACACGCTCAATGAGTATCCCTGTCATGTACCTACTCACTTGAAACTTTTTATTGCAGTAGTTTCCTTGGTTTCCATGACAATTCCATACATCTGCCAAAACCTCCAAAATATCGTTGGTCTGCGCTTGTCGGAGGAACCACAGGAATTCATGGAATAACTTAGGGGTTGTTTCCAGGGCGCCGTCGTAAACTGTGAGTTTATGCAGCCAGTGACTGATATCATCTTTAGTCACCAGAATGTTCTCTCCTAGATCATCAAACTCGTACCCGAGGCTGCCTGATTTCTTTCCTCTCATTTTACGGTTAGCATTGCTTTCGAGAAGATCTCTTGTTTGTTGTAGGACCAGATGCTGACTGGAAAATTGACACGTTCATCTCAAGGACTTTAACAGTGAAAATGGACAAGCAGAACATATGAAACTGAACTAACTCAAGAAAAGACAAATACATAAGAACCTTGCCTAAAAGGTGACTTTAATCTTATACTTCTTTTAATTCTTTGTAAGCCGGACTTAGAAATCAACTGGTTCACGTAGTTATATTATCAAACATGAGGCATGACATTACTTTCTTATATATCTGTTTATAAGAAAAAATGCATTTGCAAAATTTGAGCCATTTTAGTTATTCCGATATAATTATATTTGGTCTAATAACAATGTAACTAGTTATGCACTCCTGAAATAATCACAGTTACCTTATATTAGCCATGCATGTTGCAACTATAGTTCCCTCGCGTGCAAAAGGACGAAACACTTGTTGCTGAAGACATCTTGTTTCTTCAAGTCTGTTGTTATCTCCTAAAGTGTGCTCACATTTTATTGTTGAGTTGAATGGATAAATTAGCTACAAAATTTAAAAAAAAAAAAACATTTTAAATAATATCTGTGCAGCTGAAAACGAAATATATCAATATTCTCTGTGATTTGTTAAAGCTTACCTCATCGATAGGACTGTTCAGAAAGCCACCATACACCTTCTTGATCATGGAGAACAGGTTGTGCTGACGATAACTGTAGTGCGGAATTTGACACCTGGTGATGTCTCTGAAGGTTAATACCTTGCCCGGACTCTCCACTTCGTACTCGGTAGGGCAGGTACCTAACACGTCCACCTACAACAAGACGTGTCAGTCAAACAAGTAATATAGATACAGCTTTCCTTAATTATGTAGATAAAAATAATCGAATTTGTCTTTTAATATGAATTATGGTATATTTTAAATGTTTTTTAAATTTAATTTAACTATAATTACAGTAGCGCCGTCGTAATGTACAACATGTACATGGATGAAAGTGGGGGTTAGAACATGGATTTATTAATGAAAACTATTGTGACACATTTAACGCAATCAATATCTGTAATAAAAGACCATTGAAATAGCTTTGATTATAAAGATATTACATTTTCGCCATTGAAATGCCTCAATATGGAATTTCGCTACTGTAATGAAAGCGACAGTCATTGCACTGGAGCTTCATTAAATGTGAAATATTCACTAATGACGAAATAAAATGTATAATGACATCATTCTATGACGCGACATGCAAGTTTTACGTCCAATCAAACACAAATGTATCTTGGACGGGTCACTAGTAGTCTGCTGACTTTCAGAATATGTAATAAACAGGCAATGCAGTAGTTAGTCGAACGTCTTTTCCCCATTTGGAGGACTTTATCATGGGAAAGTACAAGAGAAATCATTAACACAACTGTAGTATATGTGATAATGGGAAGCGCTTGAATATAGTCTGTATTAACATTTTATAAATCTTTTTTAGAGGACTTCATCATGGGAAATCATTCATACACATGTAATATATATGTGATAATGGGAATCGCTTGAATATAATCTTTATTAACATTTTGTAAATCTTTTTTAGGGGACTTTATCATGGGAAATCATTCATGCACATGTAGTATATATGTGATAATGGGAAGCGCTTGAATATAATCAGTATTACCATTTTGTAAATCTTTATTAGAGGTCTTCATCATGGGAAATCATTCATGCACATGTTATATATATGTGATAATGGGAAGCGCTTGAATATAATCAGTATTAACATATTGTAAATCTTTTTTAATTAAAGGACAAAGTCTGGGGTAACTGACTTACGGTTTCCATGGTGTGGTCCTGATCTCCGGGTTCTCCATCCATGATTTTGATCTGAAGCGCTGACAAAATCCCACGCTTTATGTTAAGAGCATCGTTTGTCTCCTCGCTATCCACGACGATGGTGTGAGGGCGAATAGTGCCGCTGTCAAACTGAAAGTACATCTCCCTGCAATGTCAACGGTTTATAATAGCATACATATTATGTAAACAGATAAACGTTACAGTTTACATAGTCAACAGATTAATATTTACACAATTTACAATGTTAACAAAATTAATATTACAGTGAAGTTTATATAATGTCAACAGATTAATATCAAAATCTTGAATGTCAACAGATAGGTATCCCAATATACAATGCTAACAAATTAATATCACTATTAACAATTTCATCAGTTTAATATTACAAGTTATAATGTAAATTGTCGATGAATGAATATCACAATAACAAATGTCAGGAGGTTAATATAACAATTACGTAGAAAACAATTAATATCAAACACAACAATGTCAACAGAAAATATCACAAACAACGACGTGGCATGGTTTGGAGCCAGAGATTGTGAGTCAAAGAATCTTCCTTAGTTTTCTGTAAATAGATTAATTCTTAAAAGGGCAGGAATGGCATAATATTTACCTGCTCAGGAGATGTGTTACGTCTGCTGATAAAGTTGTATCTTTGATATAGACGTCGCCTTCCCCTGGTTGTCTGTGGAACAGTGAACACGAGGTCACCTGTAAACAAAAGGTCAAGGTTTTAGGTTAAGTCAGCCTACAAACAGAATTTTGAAGCAGTAAGACCAAGTCAAAACAAAAACCACTGGCAACTGTAAACAGGCATTTCAAAGTCAGCTGGAAACGGACATGTCAATTACACAACTGTAAATTAAGGGACATGGTACAGGTCAGCTGTAAACAGACAGGGTAAAGGTCATCTTCACACAGACTTGCCTAGGTCAGTTGTAAATAGACAGGGTAAAGGTCAGCCGAAAACAGACATCTTAAGGTGAACTTTAAACAGACAGGGTCAAAGTCTGCTGTAAACAGACATGTCAATGTCGAATGTACACAGACACGGTCAATGTCAAATGTAAACAGACAAGGCCAATGTCAAATGTAAACAGACAGGGTCAATGTCAAATGTAAAAAGACAGGGTCAGTGTCAAATGTAAACAGAAAGGGTCAATGTCAAATGTAAAGAGACAGGGTCAATATCAAATGTAAAGAGACAGGGTCAGTGTCAAATGTTAACAGACAGGGTCAATGTCAAATGTAAACAGACGGTCAATGTCAAATGTAAACAGACAGGGTCAATGTCAAATGTAAACAGACAGGGTCAATGTCAAATGTAAAGAGACAGAGTCAATGTCAAATGTAAAAAAACAGAGTCAATGTCAAATGTAAAAAAACAAGAGTCAATGTCAAATGTAAAGAGAGAAGCATTAGGTCACGTGTAAAACAGTGATATATGTTGTCATCAAATGTCATGTAAGAATCAATATCGCATGCTAACAGAAAGGACGAAGCTCCCTTTAAACAGGCTTAAGGAACAAGGACACAGGAGCAGATCAGATATCTAATAACTTAGGATGACAGATCACGTGATAAATAATGACACTGTTTTATACTAACGTTCAGGTAAGCCTCACACTTCCTCCTCGCTTCCACCACTACCTCACAGTCTAGTCTGAAAGCGGATTTGGAGGCCGTAGTCCCCACAAAGGTCGTCTCCACAGTGGTACTGTAGTGGTACAGGTACTGGTGGCCACGGTGGAATCTAACCTCTACAAAATATATGTAAATATGTATAAATACATATCTATCTATAAATATAACATACATCCTATGTATAAACACATGTCTATCTACAAATATAACATACATCCTATGTATAAACACATATCTATCTACAAATATAACATACATCCTATGTATAAACACATATCTATCTACAAATATAACATACATCCTATGTATAAACACATATCTATCTACAAATATAACATACATCCTATGTATAAACACATATCTATCTACAAATATAACATACATCCTATGTATAAACACATATCTATCTACAAATATAACATACATCCTATGTATAAACACATATCTATCTACAAATATAACATACATCCTATGTATAAACACATATCTATCTACAAATATAACATACATCCTATGTATAAACACATATCTATCTACAAATATAACATACATCCTATGTATAAACACATATCTATCTACAAATATAACATACATCCTATGTATAAACACATATCTATCTACAAATATAACATACATCCTATGTATAAACACATATCTATCTACAAATATAACATACATCCTATGTATAAACACATATCTATCTACAAATATAACATACATCCTATGTATAAACACATATCTATCTACAAATATAACATACATCCTATGTATAAACACATATCTATCTACAAATATAACATACATCCTATGTATAAACACATATCTATCTACAAATATAACATACATCCTATGTATAAACACATATCTATCTACAAATATAACATACATCCTATGTATAAACACATATCTATCTACAAATATAACATACATCCTATGTATAAACACATATCTATCTACAAATATAACATACATCCTATGTATAAACACATATCTATCTACAAATATAACATACATCCTATGTATAAACACATATCTATCTACAAATATAACATACATCCTATGTATAAACACATATCTATCTACAAATATAACATACATCCTATGTATAAACACATATCTATCTACAAATATAACATACATCCTATGTATAAACACATATCTATCTACAAATATAACATACATCCTATGTATAAACACATATCTATCTACAAATATAACATACATCCTATGTATAAACACATATCTATCTACAAATATAACATACATCCTATGTATAAACACATATCTATCTACAAATATAACATACATCCTATGTATAAACACATATCTATCTACAAATATAACATACATCCTATGTATAAACACATATCTATCTACAAATATAACATACATCCTATGTATAAACACATATCTATCTACAAATATAACATACATCCTATGTATAAACACATATCTATCTACAAATATAACATACATCCTATGTATAAACACATATCTATCTACAAATATAACATACATCCTATGTATAAACACATATCTATCTACAAATATAACATACATCCTATGTATAAACACATATCTATCTACAAATATAACATACATCCTATGTATAAACACATATCTATCTACAAATATAACATACATCCTATGTATAAACACATATCTATCTACAAATATAACATACATCCTATGTATAAACACATATCTATCTACAAATATAACATACATCCTATGTATAAACACATATCTATCTATAAATTTAATATACATCCCTATGTAGCAATACACATATATCTATAAATGTAATATGCATCCCTATGTATCAATACATATATATATATAAATGTAATATACTTCCCTATGTATCAATACACATATATCTATAAATGTAATATACATCCCTATGTAGCAATACACATATATCTATTAAAGTAATATACATTTCTATGTATCAATACACATATATCTATAAATGTAATATACATCCCTATGTATCAATACACATATATTTATAAATGTAGCATACATCCATATGTATCAATACACATATATATATAAATGTAATATACATCCCTATGTAGCAATACACATATATCTACAAATGTAGCATACATCCCTACGACTCAATACACATATATTTATAAATGTATCATACATCCATATGTATAAATACACATATATATATAAATGTAATATACATCCCTATGTATCAATACATATATATCTATAAATGTAATATACATCCGTATGTATCAATACATATATATCTATAAATGTAATATACATCCCTATGTATCAATACACATATATCTATAAATGTAGCATACATCCCTATGACTCAATACACATATATCTATAAATGTAGCATACATCCTATGTATAAACACATATCTGTCTACAAATATAACATACATCCTATGTATAAACACATATCTATCTATAAATGTAATATACATCCCTATGTATCAATACACATCGGACTACAAATATAACTTACACATGCATCGTCACGCCTACAAATATAATTTACATATATAACCTCCACTCTATATATACAGTCTACGCATACAAGTAAAACCTCACCTGTACAAAAATATGATATGGTCACTTCCTTCACTACAAACAGAATCTATGTATCTACCAATACAACTTAATAACTGAAAATGTAATTTACAACAACGTCATGTCAATAAATAGAACCTAAATATACAGCCTTGCGTTTATGAATATAACCTACAAATACAATCTTACGTCTATTAATATGACCTACAAAATTAATACAATTTACATCTTTCAAAAAAATATGTGAAAGCAACGTTCCATTTTTAAAATGAATCAACTATTCCTTAACCTGCAATTTACTGATTTGCGTATACCATTGTGCCATATCACATCTACATCTATCATCTACAAGTTGTACAACAATACAAGCTACCATCTATAAATATATTATCTAAACTTATACAACTTCCTATGTACAAATACAACCTGCAATCCAACGGTTACAAGCTCTGTTTTATTCCTTATGCATTTATCAATGTCATCAGATGTTTAGCTACAAGGTAAGAGTTTCTCTATTCAATAAAATAATAATCTTACCATTCCTGTCACAGTGAATAGGTTTTGTAATCCGTGCCTCAAACGCTGCGGTTTCTGAAAACAGAATAACGTCATGATGAAATGAGTACTCTCCAAACAAGACATCTTGATTTTAATTCGAACAAAATAGAGGTGCGCATGCCTGTCAAACGACTGCATGTTTATCAGGTAGAAATGGTTGGCAGCAATGGAATATACATCTAGTAGTACCGGAATGAAAACACCGGTAAATAGTCATTCTACTCCATTCCAAGGTGTGTACACCACAAGTCATGGTGCACCTTTGTTAAAGGATTCCTGTCGCACGGAAATCAAGTTTTTAGTATATATTAATATTTCCTTTTGGATATAAATGTGGCACAGTTAGGCTAAGACAGTTCCGTTGACCAGACAGATCAGTCGGTTAGAGCGGTGGTATAGTAATCTGAAGTCTGGGGTTCAAATCCCAGTCTAGCCCCACTCAAGTTTTACATCCAAAACACTAGTGTTGATTAAATTTTGTTTATTTCGTCAACTGTTATTTCTCATAAAAGTCCCACAATGTATGTTTTTCTTTTCAGAAATGATCTATCAAAACTATGTTCACAATGTGAGAAAATAAGTTCCAATACTTAGTTACAATATTTGGGCAGTGGTATGGGGATCCTTATACCACTGTCGTGTAGCTGTGTACGACAACGGTTGTGTTGTGTCGTTTCCTGTTCAACTTCGGCTGATTTCAGTGGATCGGTAAGTCAAAATTAGCTGTTTCCATACTTGATATGGTCATTTATTCAATGAAGCATTATTTTAGACAGTCTTTCTCGCATTGCAAACTATTCAGCTCTAAATATTTCTGAACGAATTGTTTAACCTTATGCAACGGTTCGATTTCAAATCAGTGCAAACCCGTTGCTATAGACAATTATGTAAAGCTAAATAAAAGTTCAAGCAGTCGTTATTTACTCTTCATGATATTTCATCGACATAACAAGAATTAGGAAAGGAATACAACACCTTACCAATGAACTGTGTTGATTCAGGCAGGAAACGGCATAAAACAAATATTACCGTACACATCTACACGACAGTGTTTCTTCTTATCAGTATTTAATATGTCATATATTTGAAAAAGTTATTAGGACAATCTCTTTACAGTGTACCCTTTTGAATGTTACGCAACAAGCAAGAAGGCAATATATAATCAACCTAGCATGTATAATATGACCTATCACTGTACAATGTTAGCATTTTTGTTGTACAGTCCTGAGCTAAACTTATCAACCAAAATGTTGTTATTAACAAATTTTAAAATGGGGATGGGGATTTTACAGTCGAACCGTCATATACCACTGAAGAATGGGGAGTCAGTCATGGCGTGACGTCACATGAAAACTATGACAGCAACACCCGAATTGTTTCTCATGGAGGTTTGTCCTCTGACGTGCCGGTATATGTTACAACAGTAAACACGACCTTGTCAACGCAGAATATATACATGTGTACAGATGGGTAATATTGTAATGGAAGCATAGCTGTACTGTTTCTTTGTGACTTCGTGGGTTTCGCAAGAAACACTTACGCCATGTGAATTAGAATATTACGTAAATTTTACCCTACGGTGATGAACACCAAGCCAGAAAACTACATATATATATATTCCATTTGACATCAGCGCGGCCTAGCGGACCCGTACGATAGACTTACTATTGCTTAACTCAATTAAAAGGGTGAAAATCTGAGTATTTTTCAGAAAACGAAACATTGCATGCATAAATGTAGTACCAAATAAGAAAGGAGTTATCGTTTTTAAGATCATACTGAAATTTTATAATATTAGAGATTTAATTACATGGCTATTACAATATCATTATATCACAAAAAACTTCTTCCCCCATCGGATAATTTGTAAAACTCACCCGAAACAAGACACAGCAGACAGACAGCAAGGACCAGAGATGTTCCCGCCATGATTGATGGAGGCAGAGTCCGCATGGATGTGTCTTAAAACAGCGCCAGTATATCGGTGACCTTGCATAATGACAACTAATACTTATAAACAACAGCAGCCGGGAGGAAAAGAGGTTAATGGCCAATGAGACGTCAGATAAGGAAATGCTGTTTTCGCAGTTCTCAATTTGGGCCTGTGAAGTGGTGTAGAGAGTTGGGTTTCCATGGATGGGCGAAGTCTGTTGACCCTTCGACTCTACACGTGCTGTACGGCGCAAACGGCATTGACCTGTATACGTGTTAGATGTCGCATCTCATATCACTACAATAGAACAAGGTTTCAACATATCAGTGTATATTCTGAGTTACCTCAAGATATATAGAGACAGCGCTATGTAAACGGTGCAGTTCCCGCCACAATCCATGTTGACGCCAATTTGATGTCTATGGTGATCTTGACATCTTACCGCGTCATAATATAAGCAGTTGTCATCATGACAACCACATCAGTATTGACTTAAAACGGCATAGTACCATTATCGATGTAAACTTCAGATGTCACATAAATGTTATCAATTATGACGTTATATCTCACGGTACCGTCATCAGTGTTGACGTTTTAAGTCGCTCTACCCTTTATCAATGATGACGTTTTATCATATGAATACCATGTTATGCAGTGGCATAAAGCCATCACGTAAATTATGTTTATGTAACGTGTGTAATATCACTCCGGAAATGACGTCACAATCGAATAGGAACAATCAATGAGACGTCACGTCAGTGTGAAGCGGATGCAATTCTCATCGTTTCAGAGGCGGCCAAGTGCAAAATATTCGTTTCAGATCACGCTTATACAGTTTACTTTATACTATATGATACAAAGAATCTGTCATTCGTTTCCCTTCGTATTAGATTTATGATACTCGTTTTGATACTTGTATCATAAATCTAATATGAAGGGAAACTTATGACAGATCCTCTATATATGTCACTCTACCATTTATCAATGATAACGTTATATGTCTCTCTACCAATTATCAATGATGACGTTACATGTCCCTCTACCATTTATCAATGATGACGTTATATGTCCCTCTACCAATTAGCAATGATGACGTTATATGTCACTCTACCAATTATCAATGATAACGTTATATGTCACTCTACCAATTATCAATGATGACGTGTATATGTCACTCTAACAATGATCAATGATGACGTTATATGTCACTCTACTAATTATCAGTGATGACGTTATATTATATATCCCTCTACCTATTATCAATGATGACGTTTCATCTTACCTCCATAATTAAAGTTGACAGCAAAAATCACAGTAGCATTATCCGATACTGACGTCAAAAATGTGATGCCATCATCGGTGTTGGCGTTTATACGTCACTGTACCAGTCATTAATGTTGACAACACATGTCACGTAACTGTTTATAATGTCGAAGATATCTGCCGAGGAACCATTAATTTTATCACATTTTTTACAATTAAAATATAAAGTTTTATAGCGGAAAAATAAATTTGATGATTTTTTTTTTCTTCGGTGAAAATTACGCCTTTATCATATTCACGCTAATCAGAGAGTAGTACGGAAAATATCAATCGATGGGTATTGTCAAGTTCGACGTCACTGATGCACTGAAACTTTCTTGTCGTTTCTCAACATTTTTTAGTGGGAGATGGAATTTCTGTTTTCGGAAACTAATGAGAAAAAAAAAGAAAAATGTACTTAACTGAATATTTATGGTTTCTTGATTTTCCGTGGTGTGAATATTTTCATATATTCTTACTTGTGCTCATCACTCGTGAAAAAAATACATTCAACCCACTCGTACACTGTAAAATATTAGTGTTATCCAGCAAAAATGATATAGCATCCTCTATATCAATGTTTTCTGTGTTACGGTACCAGTATCAATGTTGACGCCACATAATTATCGTGGTACCATTATATCGGTGCTGACGTCACACGTGTCGCGGTACTATAATGTCAATGTTAACGTCATACGCGTCACGTGCTTTATTATCAATTTTGACGTTACAGTATAATGCTTATATATATATAGGTCAATGTACTATTATTAGGTATTACAAACCTCGTCACTTCAGTGCTATTAATAGAAATGTCCTCATGGCTAACACCATGTGAAGTGGTCGGACTTTGTGCTATTGCTACATACTTGACTGGGGTCGCCCACCAACTAATTACAAGGGAATGTCACTAAGATGTTTTAGCTATATGGGACTCAATTTAACTGACTGACATCTTTAATCTAATAAAACGGAGTCACCAACAATATATTATTATTAACGATAATTTTACTTAAATGTTGATCACTGCTAGTTACGTAAATACGTATTTTGAATATTTTCAAATGTACATGAAATGTAGTCCTATGCTCCTTAATAATATATCGGTATCTGCATTACTTAGGGTAGAACGGGGCAAGTTCGGCCCATTTTGATCAGTCGTTCTGTTGAAATTTAATTGTATTTATATACCATTTTGAAGAAAAAATGCATGCCTTTCATAAAATGAGAACATGGTAGTTGCAAGAATTGTTTAACCTTTTCTGACAGAATATTGGATGACTGAATGTTTCCCGCCTCGGGGCAAGTTCTCACAGGCAATCTAGGGTGAGGTTATGACGTCATAAAGCATGCAATGTCAGATTTCCCCGTCAATTTCACGACCCTCCATGTGTTGCGTTTGCCGAACCTATCCCAAATTGAAATTTCTCTTTCTACCCTCCCGGCAAAAGTAACTTTCTCCCATTTACTGTATTTAATAACCCAGGGTGGTATATATTACAATTGTAATATATAGCCTACGTCTCTGAATAACCATAATATTTCTTTTTGTGAATGTCCCGCCCACTCAACTGAACAGATAAGAAAAAAAAGAAATTAAGTCTTTAATAGTGGTTTAACTTTGCATTGATGATGATTGAGAAAAAATGAATATGAATTTAACCGACATTAATGATAACATATGAAAATATAGTTTTAAGTAAATTTTCATCCGTTTACAGTTAATTTCATTATAGCAGATATGTATTATACGTCTCTGATTATAGTTGATTAATGTGTGGAAAATACAGATTCAATCCCTTTATGGCTCATTGTTCTGGAATGTAATTTTTGCATCATATTTCACTGTTGTTACACGTGAAGAGTTCGAAAAAAAAAAATACTACGAAATGTGATTTAAACATAAAAATTTCATATCCGGATTGCATGTCCGATTTGCGCTCCTTCATTTCACGTTTAGGCTACCCCGGAAGTAGTCTTCTGAAAAATTTGAAGAATAATTTGCGGGAAGCATTCATGGGGATGTCAGTGCTAATTTAACATAAATCACGAGAAATGCTATGTTCATATCATACTGTTGGACATTAATTTATTCTAATTACTCTGCCATGAAAAGACGAAATAGAACGTTATGATGACCGTCGTTGTAACTTGACGTAAGTTGAAACAACAAGCGTTGAGTGCATTTTAAAAATGATTATTGACTCCGACTCTGAGTGTAATCAAAGACATTGGGACGATCTCTCTTTCTCGTCGTGAAGAAGGGTCATCCCAGACCTGAAATAGTTGCATTTAAATTAAATTAAACCCGTGGCGGATCTAGGGGTGTTTTTCTATGAATTTACTTAAAAGATTACCCCCCCCCCCCCCCCCCCCCCCNATATTATTGCATGTATGTGTATGTTGATCCGCCATCGGAAGTCATACAATACCTTTTGACCTGTTGAACTTTTCTTAACCACAAATTATCATGTACCATCAGAAAAGATTTTAAAGTTATTTTTCCTTCTTTGATGTAGCCTTACTTTCATTTTTACATTTTTAGACAAGTAAACTTTGGTTGTTTATTGTAGATCTTGAGAGATTATTATACGACCATTTCCAGGTCCTATTCTGTATCAGCCCAAAGAACTGGAGGCCCAAGGGCTGATACAGAGTTACTCGGCCCAAGTAGTAGTGTTGTTCCGATTAATCAATTTAATCATTTTACGTCCGACTGATATAATTGATCATGATTTTCTATGATCAATCAATGGTTCGACTACAGCATGAAAACTTTCAATATTATAACAAGTTATTGAGATCAGGAATTGAAGAGAATACACCACATTTTACCCATTTTGGGGACTGCTTCTCTGTTCATTTTCATTTCATTTTATGATCGATCATTGATCATTTGGGAAAATGTGATGATTGATCAGAGATTTTGAGGGTGATTCCCAACACTACCGAGTAGGATATGGAAATGGTCATATGATAACCTTTTTATCGTATATACTGCCGTTTAATCTTTCACGATAACACATAAAATTAAGGCACACAGCAGTTTTACATTCCATGTGTAATATAATCACATTCTGGCTTGAAATCAAATACATTGAACAGCATCAAAAAGGCAGATAGGCATGAGCGTGTTTGTTTTAATCAGTGTCTAGATTGAGGGGTGATTTTTTCGTAAATTGTTGAACCGGAAGTTAAATGGATAATTAGATATGGTGTGTGCTGGGCAGATATAGCGACTGCCAGGCGGATATGGGCCAGTCCGGAATATGGCCTATATATATATGCTCATCTATAATAAAAAGTGATTAAATGTCCATGTGAAGGAAGTAAATATAGAAAAAATAAAATTAACGACCGACTAAAAAACTAGCTGCTTTCACCCTTCACAGGGCTCTTCAGGTTTATTCAANCTCATCTATATATATACATATAGCAGTATCACATGCAAAACAACCCTTATTGTGGACAAGCAGTAAATACCAGTCTGATGAAAGAAATCATATCCCTCCCTATGACATCACAACAATTGTTCTTATAGTAAAATCAGCTGCATGTAATATCTGCCTATAGAGGAAGTTTGATAAATGATGCTTTCTCAAATTTAAGTCACTGTAACATGACCTTCTGTTTTTGTGAGCCATTAAAGTACCCGATAATTTTGATCTATGGCATTGTTAGTTGAAAACGGGAGAATTTAAAAATGTCAAGGTATGATTTTGCAGTGGATAGCTGTTGTAACGATAACTATAAACAGGAAAGCCAAGTACAATCACATGCATGTCAGACAGTAACAATAAATTTCTGAGTTATACGATAGTTTTTGTTATGTTTTATTGTAGGAAAATGATCCCTAACGAAGAAAAGGAATTAGAAAAATCAAACAAGTATCTCCGTCTGAAAAATGTCCAGGGTAGAAATTTGTTGGTGGTGAGAGAAGTGTACCGCCGCGAGACAGTTCCCTGTCATAGTGCCCTGTGTCTCAGTGACTGCCAGCCAAACAACAGTATGTATTTACTATATTGTCACCACACAACAATAGGTATTGTAATTTTGTCAACCAACAAAAGTAGCTGCTTATTATAGCCTGTTATATACATGCACTAGTAAGAAATCTACCTACCTGCTAAATCAGATTTTCAAATAATGCTTTGGTATGATAAATCAACATTTAAATTTTCTTACCCTTAAAGTATTGATATACTATACTACTTGGCAATATGTTATATGATAATGCAAGTAAAAAGTACAGGAAGTTTTGCCCTGCAAAAATTTCAACCTGACTTGCATAATAATCTTTCTGCAAATGCTACATAAATCCCTATGCATTGTCACCAAACCAGAGTAATTATTTCTTGGGGTATATATACCTAAGTCAAAAATACTGCATATTCCCCTATAGCGAATTTAAGTTTTATTTTTCCAATCAATCATTTTAAACAAACGAACAAATTGTCATACATGCGTCTGTTTCCTTTACCTCAATCAAACAGTTGATGTTAAAAGCTTTTAATTGAAGCACATTCTGATTGATGTAAATTTGGCTTAAGCATTGATTACACATTACTCAGACCATAGCTGTTTACCCTTTGTCATTAGGAGGGAGACTCAGACTCAAAATTTACCAATCTCACTCATGATCATAACAGGTGTGTCTGAATCAAATGAATGCTTTTGGAGTTATTTTGATACATAAAAAGGGAAAGATAAATTGAGCAAAGTAGTTTCAGTCACATTTCACACACTCCACCCCCCACCCCCCTTGTTGGAAATGTGGAATGAAGGAGACCCCCTTCATTGGAGGTTTCAGAGGTTGACAGTCACCTATGTCAGACTGCAAGGATATATTGAACACAACAAACAGCATTGTGAACTGAAATATAAATGCTTTACATGAATATGTGTGTGTTGTCTATTAAGAATCATTATATATCAAGAAGCTAATTGTGTTGTAGATGAAGTTGGTTTGCTTCCTGCTGATGTGACCCACTACCTTGTACCAGACTGCCAAGTGGCCCGCGAATACCTGGAGGTGTTGGAGCTACCCCAGCTGACAGGCATTGTATTCCTACAGACAGTCGCCCATAGTGTATGTATAATATAATCAGGTATACAAACATGTCATAAGGAAGACAAATCTATTTTGCATTTTCATTGTTAACTTTATTCATGATAATAATGTTGTCAGTCAGATCACAAATTCATTATTACACTTATCCCAGAGTACTTCTCCATGGGTTTTGTACCTGGTTACCTATTCCTAATATTCCTTAAACTCATTCACCCCTGAAGACAAATTTGAACTCTTCCAATTCAAAGGTTGGAATAGTTCACTATGAATTTTCAGGAGTGAATGAGTTAAATACACAGGGAAATTCCTGCTTGGACTGGACAGATAGGGAAGTAGAATACCATATAATTAATTAAGTCATTGATTTCTAAACAGGTACAGCATGAAGGTAACAGGCGGTTACATACAAGACTGAAGAATCTTGTGCGGGACAAAAGAAAAGCATCCGTCATATTCCACAATGAATTCCAGAAGTTTTCCTACTGTGAAAGATTACGAGGAGAAAACCTGGCAACCTGGCAGAGCAGGTATGGCTTCAAGACTTCACAATACTCGGCTACTTATTTATCAGCATTCTAGATTAATTAACCAGTGAATAGAGAAGCTTCATGATGTACCCTGTCTCCTGCACACACCCACACACACACACAAGCACGCATACACTTCACACATGGAAGCACGTCCTTAAATGACCTTAGCTGTAAATAGGACGTTAAACAGAATTAAACCAAACTTTTAATCTAAATTTGACTGTAAATTGTGAATAGTTGATATTAGGCATTTTGTTGATGTAGAATTCTATATGAATTATAAAAAAACTTTGCTTTTTACATAATAAAGCAATAAATTTCCATCTATCTACACTAGATGAAGTCGGAAAAAAGAACTTCCTCTCACCGCCCTCTGTCTATGCAAGGAAGAACATGTTATATTATTATCTGACATCACACCTCCCTCCTCTGCTCGAAGATTACGTGACAGAAGAACTATATCTACCTTTTTCTGCTCCAGGAGTACCTATACAGCAGCAGATTGGTTCTACAATCATCTGGCCGGGCAGATACCTATTGTAATGGTCACTCAGTACAGACAGGTATCTATTGTAGTGGTCTCTCAGGACAAACAGGTATCTTTTGTAATAGTTACTCAGGACAAACAGGGATCTATTGAAATGGTCACTCAGGACAAACTGGTATCTATTGTAATGGTCACCCAGTACAAATAGGTATCTATTGCAATGCTCACTCAAGACAAACAGGTATCTATTGCAATGGTCAATCAGGACAAACAGGTATCTTTTGTAATAGTTACTCAGGACAAACATGGATCTATTGTAATGGTCACTTAGTACAAACATGTATCTATTGTAATGGTCTCTCAGTACAAATAGGTATCTATTGCAATGCTCACTCAAGACAAACAGGTATCTATTGCAATGGTCACTCAGGACAAATAGGTATCTATTGTAATGGTAACTCAGTACAAACAGGTATTTATTGTAATGGTCACTTAGTACAAACATGTATCTATTGTAATGCTCATTCAGGCCAAACAGGTATCTATTGTACTGCTCACTCAGGACAAACAGGGATCTATTGAAATGGTCACTCAGGACAAACTGGTATCTATTGTAATGGTCTCTCAGTACAAATAGGTATCTATTGCAATGCTCACTCAAGACAAACAGGTATCTATTGCAATGGTCAATCAGGACAAACAGGTATCTTTTGTAATAGTTACTCAGGACAAACAGGGATCTATTGAAATGGTCACTCAGGACAAATAGGTATCTATTGTAATGGTCATTCAGTACAAATAGGTATCTATTGCAATGCTCACTCAAGACAAACAGGTATCTATTGCAATGGTCAATCAGGACAAACAGGTATCTTTTGTAATAGTTACTCAGGACAAACAGGTACTTATTGTAATGGTCACTCAGTACAAACATGTATCTATTGTAATAGTTACTCAGGACAAACATGTATCTATTGTAATGCTCATTCAGGACAAACAGGTATCTTTTGTAATAGTTACTCAGGACAAACAGGTATCTTTTGTAATAGTTACTCAGGACAAACAGGTATCTTTTGTAATAGTTACTCAGGACAAACAGGGATCTATTGTAATGGTCACTTAGTACAAACATGTATCTATTGTAATGCTCATTCAGGACAAACAGGTATCTTTTGTAATAGTTACTCAGGACAAACATGTATCTATTGTAATGGTCATTCAGTACAAATAGGTATCTATTGCAATGCTCACTCAAGACAAACAGGTATCTATTGCAATGGTCAATCAGGACAAACAGGTATCTTTTGTAATAGTTACTCAGGACAAACAGGTATCTACTGTAATGGTCACTCAGGACGAACAGGTACCTATTGTAATGGTCACTCAGCACAAACAGGTATCTATTGTACTGCTCACTCAGGACAAACAGGCATCTATTGTAATGGTCACTTAGTACAAACATGTATCTATTGTAATGGTCATTCAGTACAAATAGGTATCTATTGCAATGCTCACTCAAGACAAACAGGTATCTATTGTAGTGGTCACTCAGTACAAATAGGTATCTATTGCAATGCTCACTCAAGACAAACAGGTATCTATTGTTATGGTCACTCAGTACAAACAAGTATCTATTGTAATGTTCACTCAGGTCAAACAGGTAGCTATTGTAATGGTCACTCAGGGCAAACAGGTACCTATTGTAATGGTCACTCAGCACAAACAGTTATCTATTGTAATGCTCACTCAGGATAAACAGGTATCTATTGTAATGCTCATTCAGGCCAAACAGGTATCTATTGTAGTGGTCTCTCAGGACAAACAGGTATCTAATGTAACGGTCACTCAGGACAAACAAGTATCTATTGTAATGATTACTCGCTACAAACCTGTATCTATTGTAATGGTCTCTCAGTACAAATAGGTATCTATTGCAATGCTCACTCAAGACAAACAGGTATCTATTGTAGTGGTCTCTCAGGACAAACAGGTATCTTTTGTAATAGTTACTCAGGACAAACATGTATCTATTGTAATAGTTACTCAGGACAAACAGGGATCTATTGTAATGGTCACTTAGTACAAACATGTATCTATTGTAATAGTTACTTAGGACAAACATGTATCTATTGGAATGGTCACTCAGTACAAATAGGTATCTATTGCAATGCTCACTCAAGACAAACAGGTATCTATTGTTATGGTCACTCAGGACAAACATGTATCTATTGGAATGGTCACTCAGTACAAATAGGTATCTATTGCAATGCTCACTCAAGACAAACAGGTATCTATTGTTATGGTCACTCAGGACAAACAGATACTTATTGTAATGGTCGCTCAGTACAAATAGGTATCTATTGCAATGCTCACTCAAGACAAACAGGTATCTATTGCAATGGTCACTCAGGACAAACATGTACCTATTGTAATGGTCACTCAGTACAGACAGGTATCTATTGTAATGCTCACTCAGGACAGACAGGTACCTATTGTAATGGTCACACAGGACAATCAGGTATCTATTGTAATGCTCATTCAGGCCAAACAGGTATCTATTGTAATAGTTACTTAGGACAAACATGTATCTATTGGAATGGTCACTCAGTACAAATAGGTATCTATTGCAATGCTCACTCAAGACAAACAGGTATCTATTGCAATGGTCAATCAGGACAAACAGGTATCTTTTGTAATAGTTACTCAGGACAAACATGGATCTATTGTAATGGTCACTCGGTACAAACAGATATCTATTGTAATGGTCACCCAGTACAAATAGGTATCTATTGCAATGCTCACTCAAGACAAACAGGTATCTATTGCAATGGTCACTCAGGACAAACTGGTATCTATTGTAATGGTCGCTCAGTACAAATAGGTATCTATTGCAATGCTCACTCAAGACAAACAGGTATCTATTGCAATGGTCACTCAGGACAAATAGGTATCTATTGTAATGGTCACTCAGGACAAACAGGTATCTATTGTAACGGTCACTCAGGACAAACAGGTATCTATTGTAATGTTCACTCAGTACAAACAGATATCTATTGTAATGGTCACTCAGGACAAACAGGTATCTATTATAATGGTCACTCAGGACAAACAGGTATCTATTGTAATGCTCACTCAGGACAAACAGGTATCTATTGTAATGGTCACTCAGGACAAACAGGTATCTATTGTAATGGTTACTCAGTACAAACAGGTAGCTATTGTAATGGTCACTCAGTACAAACAGGTATCTATTGTAATGGTCACTCGGTACAAACAGGTATCTATTGTAATGGTCACTCAGTTCAAACGGGTATTTAATTTTTGTAATGGTCACTCAGGACAAACAGGTATCTATTGTAATGGTCACTCAGGACAAACAGGTATCTATTGTAATGATTACTCGGTACAAACATGTATCTATTGTAATGGTCACTCAGTACAAACAGGCATCTATTGTAATGGTCACTCAGGCCAAACAGAACCTTATTGTAATGGTCACTCAGGACAAACAGGGATCTATTGTAATGATTACTCGGTACAAACATGTATCTATTGTAATGGTCTCTCAGTACAAACAGGTATCTATTGTAATGGTCACTCGGTACAAACAGATATCTATTATAAAAGTCACTCAGTACAAACAGGTATCTATTGTAATGGCCACTCAGGACAAACAGAACCTTATTGTAATGGTCACTCAGGACAAACAGGTAGCTATTGTAATGGTCACTCAGGACAAACATGTATCTATTGTAATAGTTACTCAGGACAAACAGGTATCTATTGTAATGGTCACTCAGGGCAAACAGATACTTATTGGAATGGTCACTCAGGACAAACAGGTATCTATTTTTAGTACACAATCATCAGATGGTGGGCCATTAAAATCACCCTGCGTCCGTGGTCCGTCCGTCATTCCCTCCGTCCTTAAACAATTCTTGCTAGTGCTGTTTCTCCAAAAGTACTGGAGGGATCTTATTTCAGGACAAACAGGTATCTATTGTAATAGTTACTCAGGACAAACAGGTATCTATTGTAATAGTCACTCAGGACAAACAGGTATCTATTGTAATGCTCTCTCAGTACAAACAGGTATCTATTGTAATGGTCACTCAGGACAAACAGATACTTATTGTAATGGTCACTCAGGACAAACAGGTATCTATTTTTAGTACACAATCATCAGATGGTGGGCTATTAAAATCACCCTGCGTCCGTGGTCCGTCCGTCATTCCCTCCGTCCTTAAACAATTCTTGCTAGTGCTGTTTCTCCAAAAGTACTGGAGGGATCTTATTTAAATTTATCATGAAGGTTCCCCATGATCCCTAGTTATGCATATTGTAAAGGTTTTTTGGGACTGATCACAAAACCAAGATGAACGAAAGGCAGCCATCTTGAATTTGAGAGTTAAAGTTTGTTAGTGCTATTTCCCAGACCTAAAGGATTTTCTCAAATTTCACATGAAAGTTCCCCATGATACCTAGTTATGCATATTGTTTTTGGGACTGATCACAAAACCAAAATGGGCGACAAGCAGCCATCTTGAATTTAAGAGTTAACTTGTTAGTGCTGTTTTTCCGAAAGTTCTGTAAGGGTCTTTCTCAAATTTTACATGAAAGTTCCTCATGGTCACTAGTTAAACATATTAAATTTTGTGACAGAAGGGAAAACCAAGATAGCCAACAGATGCCATCTTGAATTTGAGAATGAAAGTTTGTTAGCGTTATTTCTCAGAATGTTCAGGAGGGGTCTTTCTCAAATTTCACATGAAGGTTCCCAATGGTTCTTAGTTCCACATTTCAAATTTTGGGGATGATTGGAAAACCAAGATGGCTGGCAGGTGTGGTGATATTGAATTTAGAAGTAAATTGTTTTTAGCCCTATTGCTCAAAAAGTATTGGCGGGGGCTTTCTCAAATTTCACATAAGGATTCCTCTTTTTCTTAGTTATGCATATCAAATAATATCGGCTGGCCATCTTATTACAGTTTAAGTTTGTTATCGCTATTTTTCAGAATTTACTGGAGGTGTTTTTCTCAAATTTGATATGTAGGTTCCTGTTGGTCCTGAGTTGTGCATGTTAACTTTTGAGGTTGATAAAAAGATGGCGGACAGGCAGGGAACTTATTAAACAGATAACAGAAAAGAAGAGAAAAGATCGAACTGACATAAAACTAATGAAGATGGTACAATGGTGGGCGCCAAGATCCCTCTGGGAACTTTTGTAATGATTATACAGTCAAAAATTGTATTCTTTTTGAGATAGTAAAACGTTTTAAACAGAAGCCGGTTTCCTTCCACGGTATATGATAAGATATGTTTCTATTGTTTATAAACTTCAATGAACCTCTAGAGTCATGTTGCATATCCTATATTGTAAAAATTAAACCACCTGTTTATAACGACCAATCTGACACTTTCTTGATTGTTAAAACACATATAATTCTTTCTGGAATAACTCGCTATGTGTCACTGGTCCCTCATAAGATCCCTATCGACAGGTATGATGTACAAGTGGAGGTGTGATGATCAATTTGCAGGTGATAGCCGAGTATGGAAATCGCCAGATGAACGTATTTGTACTGACACTTCAGGAGTACCTGGATACCTTCTGGAAGATGATCTTGCCCAGTATAACAGATCTAGTGGACTCGATCACTGCTTCTCTAGAGACAAGAACAAAAGGTAGGTATCTTTGTAACACTGTTGTCATCTTGCCTGTTGTTCCGTTAATATGAACTTTATTTGTTTTACAACAATTATGAAAAATGTTTTTACAACTTATACTAATCTCTCTTGTTGGCCTGGATGTTAGCCCCCAGGGGGTCTTACTATTGGAAACCGGTGTACCCGGAGAAAACCCATGTGGTCGGGCAGGTGACCCCATACTTTTTCACGTCCGATCGGGGAATCAAACTCTGGCTGCCTTGGTGAAAGTATCACCTTCATGTACCTGCTGAGTGCTGAACATTTAAATAGACAGTCCCCCTGGATTCTAAAACAATTTAGTCTTAAATGTAAATGTAATATGCTTCTCAAATTGATATATCTGCAAGTGCTGCAAGTATGTATTTCACAAAATTAGGGGTTAATTTCAAAGGGACAATTTAGTGAAGTAAGTTTTTTTGACTACCTGAAAATCAAGTCGATACTGAAAATATATATCTCCTAATGAAAGTTTATGTTGATAATGACCCGACCTGAAGCCAACGTCCAGTGTGGTCAGTTTCAATTTTTGGGAAAGTCGGTGATAAAAATAGTAACAAGAAAATGCAGCCGCAAAGCTGCTGGACCTCAATATTTATATATACTAGTATATAGTATAGTATAGTATATAGCAACAACCACATTATTTCCATCAACATAACACAGTGGAACCTCCTACACAAAACAATAATCCAATTAGAAACACTAACAGATTTCAGGACATGCACCACATATAACACAAACAAACATATACAAAACCTACAACATAACTAACACTCACTCACTGCTTTTAACCTGTTTTTATCCTATAGCAAATTATAAAAACAATCACTGTACATAGATGTAACAACGAACTACAGCACAAGACCACCATTTCGTAATCGTCAATGTTGACGGAGAAAGGTTAAAAATGAAGATGACGATGAATGAACTGATATATTTGTTAATGGCATTAAATTTGTCGTTCAGAATTGTCCCAAAGCACGCAAATTTACATTTTAACTGTACATTTAAATGTCAACGACTTGGTAATAACGTCATCTTCTGAGAGAGAGATTAACATGATTTACATAAAATATCATTTATGCCTGTCGCAATTTTTACAAATTCCTTTGACAATGTACTGGACCTTGGATAGAATATTAACCGTCTTCTGTAAACACATATCCGTTTTATATGAGTGAAATGTATATATAGTATTCAACGGGAAAACAATTAAATTTTAGATTCATGTCACGCTACGCAAATATTGCTGCATTAGAAAAGCGCGGGAATTTGTAGCGTAATTTTTTGACCCTCGGTTCTAATGACGTCACGCTTGACACCAACACAGAGCGCCATTTTGAAAGGGTTTCTCAATGCATTTTTGTCGTTTGCTGCTATTATCTGGTCAGATTTCCAAACGAAAATAATATATAAAATTATATAAGTTGTGTAGTTATGTAAATACCATAATGTATTGTGCAAGGTGGAACCACAAAACCATTTATTCTGCTGTCGCTTCATCTAAAGTTGAAACTGAAAATATACGCAGTGAATATTATGTACCGTTTTGATTTGACAGTACTTCGAGCGATTTTTTCACATGTGAAGATACAACTTTTCGTTAATCTTCACTGTATTGAAGATATGTTTTCCTTAGAATAAGAATTAATTATATATCTCTAGTAAAGTGTAATAAATACAGATATCGTATGGGCTTTTCTATCATAATTTTGTAGATCTTATGTGGCCTTAATTTCCCAGAAGGCTTTCACGCATGGGGAGGCACCGGAAGTGGACAAAGTGTTTACAGATCAAACCTGGGCGGCGCTTCGCGCCGCATGGGGGTTTGAAAAAAATAGTAAAAATATGACCCAAATAGCCTAATACATGTACAGCACTACGCTGTCGACCGACAACACAACTGTTATGAGCCTGAGTTCACACAATACATCACAAGTAAGAATTATAAATATCATAATATATACCTCTAATCAGATATTTCTGTTAACATTTGGATTCAAATAAGAACGAACAGGTTCAATTAGAGCATGCAAGCACTGAGAGGGTGCCACAGGGAGAATTTCAAACCGCAGAAAGTACGATATCAATAGGTTTAAACGTAAAATAGATCACTCATTGATAACGATGTTTTAGATGCTGTTAGAAGATAATTTTGATTCAAAATAAATGCATGTACTTGTATTCAGAGAGGCTAGGCGAAAAAATGGAGATATTACCTTCTCTCCTTAGCTGGAAAGACATTTTTGTTAGCTAGAAATTCACCGATAGCTACCGCTAAAACGTACGGCTGTACACTTAAGGATTTCTCCATTACTGATTAAAAACGCCAAGAAAATATTGTCTCTTGTCAATTTCTCGGCATGAATTGTTCATAGGGAGTATCAAACTATATAATCATGAAGAGTTTTGTGACTAGGTTATAAAAAAACTTACTTCACTAAATTGTCCCTTTAAGATCAATGTTTTATGGACATTTGAAAATTTGGACTTGAGTTTCAAACTGTTATCTCATGATCAGGGGTTTAACATGTTATGTGGGACTTTCTACTGATATCTACCAGATATCTGGAAAGCTGAGTATATTGCTTCATATGTAACACAACCACACTGTTAGCGGGTTGTTGTACGTAAAGATTTGTGGGTTACAGATAAGGACTATGTTGGATACTTACCATCTGATGTTATTGAGGCCGGATTGAAGACGGGACATTACACTCAGGGCTTTCTCAACGTCAACAAAAGTAACGCGTCACAGGAAGCTTTTGTCCGTCGTAAGAGGTAAGCTTACAGCAATAATATCAAATAATTCTCACACAGGAAACCTGAGTCTGTTTAAATGAATAGAAGGTTCAGTATGATAATAAAGTGTTTCTGTTTTATACCTGAAATGTTGTTAACCCTTTCACCCCTATGTAACTTCAGTAAACTCTACCATGCATTGATCTGGATGAGTCCATTATGGTCCATAGGGTTAAAAGGGTTAATTTCTTGTGTTGATTGGTTTGTTGTAGACAGGATCAACGAGAAGATAGGGACTCGGATATCCTTATCCATGGCATGTCTAGTAGGAACCGTGCTGTCCACGGCGACCTGGTGGTGGTTGAGCTGCTGCCACGGTCACAGTGGCAGGGCCGGTCTAATGTCATCAGGGAAGAAGGTACAGGTTAGTACCCCAGAAGGTGTTAGAAAGATATAGCGTAGAGTTCCCTCCCCTGGTTGTGGTGGAAAACATGCTTTTAACTCATCATTCACCCCTGAAATTTCATAATGGACTATTCCAACCTTTGAATTGGAAGAGTTCAAATGTGTCTTCAGGGGTGAATGAGTTAAAGTACACCCATGGTAAAGATGTATGCTTTAGGGTAACTTTGCTTGTCTGCGTATGCTTTGGATTTAAATTTTCCTTTGTTGTATTGGAGAATTACCTTCCTTGGTTTTGATACAGCTCTGTTATAACGGTTACCTCTCCTGGTCCTGGTGGAGATATATTCTGATATTCCAAAAACTGTAACTAATTCAGTATTGGAAACTGTTTTTTCCAGCATGACTATAGCTTTGATAAATCATTTCTGAAAAAGAAACCATACCTTTACGGGACTTTTATGGGAAATAATAAAGATGAAGTAAACACAATGTAATCAACAATAGTCTTTTGAGTGTTTGAGTGTGGGCTAGACAGGGATTCAAATCCCTGACTTCAGATGGTTATAGTACCATCACTTCCTAACTTTGAGGTGGTAATTGTTCATATTTAATAGTTAATGGATAATTTATTAAAAATTACCTGCACTTGTTGTGGTATCGACAAGGAGATATGAAAGAGATGCCTGTAGATGTGCTAGCTACATTTGTTGTACATGTGCTAGCTTCATTTGCTGTAGATGTGCTAGTTGCTGTAGATGTGCTAGCTACATTGGCTGTAGATGTGCTAGCTACATTGGCTGTAGATGTGCAAGTTACATCTGCTGTAGATGTGCTAGCTACATTTGTTGTACATGTGCTAGCTACATTTGGTGTAGATGTACTAGCTACATTTGCTGTAGATGTGCTAGCTACATTTGCTGTAGATGTGCTAGCTACATTGGCTGTAGATGTGCTAGCTACATTGGCTGTAGATGTGCTAGCTACATTGGCTGTAGATGTGCTAGCTACATTGGCTGTAGATGTGCTAGCTACATTGGCTGTAGATGTGCTAGCTACATTGGCTGTAGATGTGCTAGCTACATTGGCTGTAGATGTGCTAGCTACATTGGCTGTAGATGTGCTAGCTACATTGGCTGTAGATGTGCTAGCTACATTGGCTGTAGATGTGCTAGCTACATTGGCTGTAGATGTGCTAGCTACATTGGCTGTAGATGTGCTAGCTACATTGGCTGTAGATGTGCTAGCTACATTGGCTGTAGATGTGCTAGCTACATTGGCTGTAGATGTGCTAGCTACATTGGCTGTAGATGTGCTAGCTACATTGGCTGTAGATGTGCTAGCTACATTGGCTGTAGATGTGCTAGCTACATTGGCTGTAGATGTGCTAGCTACATTGGCTGTAGATGTGCTAGCTACATTGGCTGTAGATGTGCTAGCTACATTGGCTGTAGATGTGCTAGCTACATTGGCTGTAGATGTGCTAGCTACATTGGTTGTACATGTGCTAGCTACATTTGTTGTAGATGTGCTAGCTACATTTGCTGTAGATGTGCTAGCTACAGTGGCTGTAGATGTGCAAGTTACATTGGCTGTAGATGTGCAAGTTACATCTGCTGTAGATGTGCTAGCCACATTTGTTGTACATGTGCTGGCTACATTTGCTGTAGATTGGCTAGCTACGATTGCTGTAGATGTGCCAGCTACATTTGCTGTAGATGTGCCAGCTCCATTGGCTGTAGATGAGCTAGCTACATTGGCAGTAGATGTGCTAGCTCCATTGGCTGTAGATGTGCTAGTTACATTGGCTGTAGATGTGCTAGCTAGGATATACTTTGCTGCTTTATTATATTTTAAATTGTTCCTGCAGGTAGGGTGTAAGAATTGTACCTGCTGCCCCCATTGCATGATCGTAAGAGGCGACTAAATTTGGGATCTTATCTTTTCTCTTCTTTCTAAACAACTTTCTTCTTCCTAATGTCTCCCTTGACAATGCCTCACTTTTGGCCTTTAGTTGAACGTTCGCCCTTGTGAGGAAGGCTTTGGGTTCTGTCCCCTGNCATCGGCACGCACATGTACTATTGTTTACCAGGGGCCAGTTCGTTTATGCGGTTTGACCGTTTATAAATGTAACAATTTCGGGTATAAATCCTGGCTGACCTGCAAATGTGTATGCAGGCCTTGCAAGGCTTTCTCAAGGCTCGCCTGAAAGCAGCATCAGNATATATTTTAAATGATACTTTTGTGTGTAATTATCGGTCAGTACAACCAAACTGCTTGGGGGGAAAATTGTATCTGTAAATAAAACATTCTTTACACAAAGAATATATACACAATAGTCTTATTTTGTGAATCATGATTTTTCAGAATAATTCTTTATTTCACCTCTGTTATCCAATAGCACTATATACATGTACATACACCAAACAATCCTTTGTCTCAACACTCAGCTGGCTGGTTTGGCCTTACAACCCTTGTTAGTCACCACACATTGTAAACTTGTAAGAATTTAAACCACAGATACCAAGGACAAAGGAGGAAAGGATGACAGTGGAGAGGTCACATCGGTGATGACAACAGGACGAATCGTGGCAATCTCACAGCGAGCATGGAGGGAATATGTAGGAACCTTCTCACAGGGCGAGGTAGGTAGCCGGCGGCAAGGCACATACAGTTTTTATATTAACAAAGCAACTTACGCACAAGATTAAGGAAATGGTGATTTGCCAAAGTAGTATTTTTTTTCTTATGAAGTTTAAAAAATCATCAGTTTGGTGATATGTTCCCTTATGTGAACAATGTGCAATTAACTTAATCATTTATCATAGGTCTATGAGTAATATTTAGATATCCCGCCCAAGCCTTACTGATGCTGCAGCAAGTTTACGTCACATCCTCAACGGTACACTTAATTAAGTCCGCATGTTTTGGTTTTTCAGTAATAAGTCCTTCTGTGGATTATTAGTACCCCTGAGGAGGAGGGGCAGTCACTGACCAATCCTGCGGTGGATTGACTAATATTACTACCCCCAGGGGGAGTGTCAGTCTTCCCAATCAGCCGCTCTCAACCTTCCATGTCCATTGTTGGGGCTTGAACACAACTTGTACCGGCAGTTTAAGGGCATAATTGTCAGTGGCTCCTTCCAGCAACCATGTTCTCTCAGTTTTGGGTTCCATTTCAAACTGTGAAACACATGTTTTTTCAGGTATTGCCCCATGGGTTGAAGTCACTGACTGGCTTACCCTTGGCTGTGTACACCCACCTTTGTTGGTTTAGCAGTTAGATGTGGCCCCTCACTTCTACGTCCGTTGTGGACCATTGTGGTCTTACCTTTCGATCTCTTGTGTTGGCAGCAGACAGTTATTTCCAGCCATCTAGTAGCCCAGGGATGAGATAGGAACTACATTTTAGATGCATCTTCTTTTTGAGGAATTGATACTCATCAATAGAGACATTGATCCCTCGAAACCCTGACTGGAGTCTCTTTTGTTATAAAAGGGAAGTTTATCAAAAGGTTTTAAGGGAGAACCTAGGTCAGGTCAGGTATGACACGCTAGCTTTCCATTAATCTGTAGTACTTTGAGTAAATTTAAGTCTGAAGCTCTTGAATCTGAGCTGGAAGAGTTGGATAATGGCAAGCAGTCTGGATTTGAGAAGGCTTTGGAGGCTTAGCATCTAACTAGGAGTTTTAAACATGCTTTCGTCTGTCAGTCAAAGGTGTACCCACCACTATCTGGTTCATCTCATCCCCACAATCTGCTGAGTCTGTTTGTGATGTGTTCTCAACAAAAGTTTTCACACTTTCCTGTTGGAAAGCAAATTTTTGCCTCAACACATCCTCGATACCCCAAGGGTTATGCTCACTTTCGCTCTCTGCACCCATAGCAAAATTAAAAGCACCAGGCTAGCTATTTGATTGGTTACTGTACTGTTAAAAAACCTGACCAATCACTAGGCTGATACCTGTCCTTTGAAGATTACAGAGGAGCGAAACCCGACTTCAAAGCCAGCCAATTTTACTGTTGCACGACTGACATATTCTTTTGTTATACATCGGAGGATCAAACTAGTCTTCTCGTCTCATCTACGAAGTCTCACACTGGGCCTTCGATTTTGTTGTGACATATTCCATATAAGCCCCGTTGTTTACAATGAGGGACAAGGCTTCTTATAAACACTGCTTGTCTGGTTTCCTGATTTATGCTGTAGATGTTGGTATCCTCCAGCCCTCTGAGTTATACTTCTAGACATCATTCACTTCTTAGTCTGCTTAGAGAGCTTTAGATTGACTGAGTGACCCATCTTTTCATGTAGGTGCTGGAATTTCAAGATGGTTTTCATCTATATCCATTATTGTTTTCTGTTGAAGATAAATCTGACTCAGCCTTTTTTTGTAAGATTTATCAGTGTTATATTTAGTTTTGTCTCATCGCCTTCTTCTCTACGCAGCTTCAACTCTAATATATATATTAGTATTACTCTTTTTATCACAGGTAGCTCTCCAGGGGAACTTATCTCTGGGAGTTTGTCTTATCTAAAGCAACAGATTCACTTTATTAAGGTGGCTCCACACTTTCGCAATTAACCAGCAAAATTCGTTGAAACTTTCATATAATGGTTATGCAACTATGTAGAGTTGATTTTATGAAAATCTAAACATTCCGATAGTTTGGGGACTTTTTTGGAAAAAATACCAAAAAATTGAATTTTCGTCAATTTTAATATTTTCCGGGGTTTTTTGTGTGTGACATTGTTCGCCACAATAACAACAATAATAAAATGAATAGAAGCATTTCTAATTAACCCTTCAAAATATTTTATTTATCGCAAAATATGTAACACATGTTACACAAAGTGTTTTTTATTGAATTTGTACGGATAAAAGCGATTATCTACAAGCTAAAAGCAAACAGGACACAAAGATCTATACATATAGAATGGGAAATTGAACAAAATATACACAATGGCTTTATAACTAATTTATTTTACATTTTACAATCACTTAGATCCGGGTGAGAGTTATCTTCCTTGAAAAAAATCGGAACTTTTTGCAGAGGGGTGACATTTACACAATGACAGTTGCCCTGTTTACATATAACAAAAATGATGGAAATAAATCAAAAATATGATATCAAAATTATCAATTTATTGTTCTTTAATGGAACCAAATTACCCTCAGTCATGTACACTTTGGACATCATTCCACAGTCCGCTAACTCACGGTATATTTATAATTACATGTCAGGTACATATGTGACCAGAGGCTATCGCATGGTATGCCGTTCTCACGTGCCCTCACACATGCATTTCATAGGTATCTTGATATTTTACAAAACATTATTTTCACAGAGTAAGTAGACTACATTTGTAAACACGATTTAATCGACAGAGCGAAACTCCCTCAGCTTATGAACTCGTGTAAGCACGTGATATGCACATATGAGGTTGGTACGTCCGCATTCCATGCGTTTCCTATATGACCTTCTTGAGGTCGTTTGGTCTCATGTCACTGTCTTCCCGTGAGTCTGTTTATGTCTATGAATTTGAAAGCTTTATTCCTGAAGTACGTGTGATTATACATTTCCCGGTAAAATCTCGATATCGGGTGTTAACATACATCGGCACGCACATGTACTATTGTTTACCAGGGGCCAGTTCGTTTATGCGGTTTGACCGTTTATAAATGTAACAATTTCGGGTATAAATCCTGGCTGACCTGCAAATGTGTATGCAGGCCTTGCAAGGCTTTCTCAAGGCTCGCCTGAAAGCAGCATCAGATTACTAGGTCCGACCTTATTTAATAACAACAGTGGTCCGATCGGTTTGACCGTTTAAACGAAAACGGCCAAGGTGTTACTATAATGTGCACTACGATATTGAATGCCTGATACGCAATACGGAAATGACGATACGGTGTACATGCACATTTCGATCAAGATAATTGAGTCCGAGCTGTACTTTTTCCGGAAGTACGTCACGAAAATGGACGCTGATGACGATGTGTGGAGCCACCTTAAGGTTTTATGTAGTAATGTCAATGTATGTGATTTGATAGTAAGTGACATTTTCAGGCATTAAATTACACTAACCATTCACCTTACTATAAAGGACAGCCTTATAACAGTGTTAACATTAGCCCTATGACTGATTGTGTTCAGCACGTACATAAAAACACCTTCATTAGATGATCTTGTCTGTCCGTACAGGAGACGGGTCTGAAAGGAGGTAAGGTCCTTGTCATTCCCTGGGACTACCGCATCCCTAAGATACGCATCAGCACTCGCCAGGTGGAGGCACTGAGGGATCACCGCATCGTAGTGAGGATTGACTCCTGGGACCTTGAGTCCCAGTACCCTAACGGTCACTTTGTCAGATCCCTGGGGAGAATCGGGGAGTTGGAAACGGAGGTGGCAGCCATACTGATAGAAAACAACATACAGATGTCAACATTCTCTGATGCACAGGTATATATATATATATTACTGGAAATGTACTTGGTATTTAAGTGAGTATTATACATGTATTGCCCTTACTGTCGGAAAAAACGATTCTTTGTTTCTCAGAGGTTAATCATGTTTATGAGGGCGAAGCCTGCGTGAAATAAAATCAATCGAGAAGAAACAGAGAGTCGTATTTTACAGTAAGGTCAATAAACATTATGCCAAAAAGAAAGAAAAAACAATAAAGCAATAGTAAAGATGATCAGGTTGGCGCGTCATTGCTGTCTGCTTCCCTCATTTGGAACTTACTAGGTTGTGATGGCTTCTGCAGATATTTATAGAGAGGCTCTGAATAAGAAAAATAAAATCAGGGGAACTTGAGTGTGTGAGAGCAACGTTAAGTTGCATCGCCTCCTCATGTGACCTGTATCATTTAATCAGACATGCTGTTATAAATGTGAGGTAAAAAAACGCTGTAAATATATTTGAATTAGCACACTCATAACTCCTTACATCGGCAACAATCAGTAATTTATCATTTTTCCCTGAAACACGATAAGTCAGTATCCAATTTGAATAGGAAGTTCTGCTGCTGCAAGATCTAGTAAAATTGTAAACAAGTCTGAATATTAAAAAAAATCTTGTTGTTTAGATTTTAGTTATATAATATACATGTGAATAAAAAGTAAGTTTTAATTAATTTGAAGAAGAAAAATAAGCTTAAAATAAACAGCAAACATAATGCATGTAGGCATGATATTATTACTGATACTACCCGGTATATCATTCATGTGAATGAATGAAATCAAATGATTGAAATGAATGAACAAGCTTATATGGGAAACTGAACAACAACACACACACACACACACACACACACACACACACACACACACACACACACACACACAAATGATACATTATAACAACATACACGTACAATTAATGTTGTCGACATTCTGGAATACACAGGTACATTGTAAGTATAACTTTATAACACAGTTTACTTGTGTTTTATAGATGAAGGAGTTACCGGTGGATACAGAGGAGGAGCCCTGGAAAGTGGAGGAGGAAGAGTTACTAAGACGACGGGATTTACGCGGCTCCCACCTTGTGTTCAGCATAGATCCTAAAGGATGTGAAGATGTGGACGATACACTGTCTGTCAGGTACAGAGGTCATAGGTCAGAAGTTCAAGTCATTAGGCCTTTTTGTGATCTGTCTCTTATGGTAAAAAAATATTTTTTGTACATAATTTTATGTACTAAAGTAGGGTGGGGCCTATCATCTGTTATTAGGTCACCTGAGCTTTGCTCAAGTGACCTATTCCAATCGCTTTTCGTCCGTCGTCCGTCGTGCGTCGTGCGTAAACTTTTACATTTTCAACTTCTTCTCAAGAACCAGTGGATGGATTTTTTTCAAACTTGGTCAGAATCATCCTTGGTAGATGAGGCTTCAAAATTGTAAAATTGGGATTCCTATCCCAACCCCTGGGGCCAGGGCGGGGCCCCAAAGGGAAAATTAATCAATATTTCAAAAATCTTCTTCTCCAGACTCAGAGGTACTACAGTGATTTTCTTTACGTGGAAAGAAAGATCATCAGGGGCTTTATTTAAATTGAAAATATCAGGACCCCGAGCTATCCGTTCTCCCTTGGGGAGGGGTTAACGTTTAATATAGTTTATATAGGGAAATAACACTTTTCGGTATATATTTTATCCATTTTCAGCAGAAAATTGCTCAAACTTAGTCAGAATCATCTTGGGTAAATGAGAGTTTTACTTTGTAAAATTAGGATTCCTGCCCCATCCCCAGGGGCTAGGGCGGGGCCCCAAAGGGAACATTTACCAATATTTTCAAATTCTTATCCATTGATGACATGACAAGTATTGTATTTCACTTAGTTTACATGCTGATTTCCACATCACATCTAAACAATAAAATAAAGCTACCAGTATCTATGATATAACTCAGGTGACCGCTAAGGCCCTTGGGCCTCTTGTAATTACCTGTGATGAATACTGAACGATGGCAACATATATTATTCACTAGAATGCTTGACAATGTTACATGTGTTCCTGTTTTATTCCTTTTTGTTGACTGTACAACACTAGACAATGGTACTTTACTGGTTGGTGGCCAAGTGGTTAAGGCGTTCGACATGCTGCTACCACTAGCCCTCCACAACTTGTTGTGTGTTCGAGGCCGACGTGGGGCAGTAGCCAGGTACTGGTCGTAGGTCGGTGGTTTTTCAAGGTGGTCAATAGGACTTAAAACACAAACAAACCAAAATGTTTACTGATTGTAGAACTCTGGATAATGGTAATACAGAGCTTGGAGTCCATATCGCTGATGTGACCCACTTCGTCAAACCAGGCACGCTGACTGACCAAGAGGGCAAAAGTCGGTCAACAACCGTCTACCTTGCTGATCGCAGATATGACATGTTACCTGGGATACTTAGTGCCAACCTGTGCTCATTAATAAGCGGGGTCGACAGGTAAGTCATGTGACTAGTTTCCTGAGCTGTACTTATTGTCAACATGGTGGAATAGCATATATCAAGGTACCAGACATAACGGGTTAGCCAGTAAAACAAGTTATTTTGGACTTTTGTCTGCACAAATCCACTGAGTTATTATGGTTGATGATATGTTAGGCTTAAAAGTGAATTAAAATATTCAAATGAAATTTGTTAAACTGGTCCACAAGTTTTCCTACAGAGTTTGATGAAAGCTTCCAGTTTGTTTGATAAATCTCATGAAAGCACCTTTGAAGTGGAGGCACTAAACATACATGCACAATATAAATTCACTTTTAAACCCAACATCATCAACCATTGTCCATCCGTCATCATTCGCCTGTCCTTAAACAATTCTTGTCATTTCTGAGGAAGTGCTTGACAACCTTATATCTAGGTTCGCCTTGCTCCTTGGTTGTGTATGTTTCATTTTAAGACTCATTGGATGACCTGACATTTCATGTCTGCTACTGTATACCAGGAAATTTGGGGTCACAGTTGAACTCATTCACCTCCTGGAGACACATTTGAACTCTTCCAATTCAAAGGTTGGAATAGTTCATTATGAAATATCAGGAGTGAATGAGTTAACTTTCCCTTGTCTTGCATGCCCTCCACTATTAGGGCGAATTTATCATTACAGCGAACATCTGTGAACAGCATGGTGAACAATTAATGGTGTAAAAAATGAAGGGTGAAATTGACATCGGGCGAATTTGGATTTAATCTGCGTAGGGCGAAAGTTTGACTTGGCAAAAGTTTGACTTGGCGAAAGTTGAACTTGGCGAAAGTTTTGACTTTGCAAAAGTTTAACTTGGCGAAAGTTTTGACTTTGCAAAAGTTTAACTTGGCGAAATTTTCCTGATATACAGTATCATGTCTAGTTGTGCTAATCTTTTTTATTCAAAATCGAACCCAAATTTGTATTTTACCAGGTATGCAGTCAGTGTCATATGGGAGCTCGATTCTTCCTACAACCCTGTAAATGTATGGTATGGAAAGACCATCATACGCTCATCATACAAATTATTCTACGAGGCAAGTAGTGTATATCATACCGAAGGATGATTCTGTGTTGTGGCGACCTCATAATGATCCAATTTGTCAAACCAGAAAATTCGTTTTCCAAGTAGTCATATATGCAAACTGAGTACTGCAACAGTAATTGTATCTATTAATAATCCAGAGAATTATGTCAAAAATTGGCCTAATGTAATGTTGTCTGTGTATGAAATGCTTGTTACAAACATTTTTCTTGCTGTATAATTATTCTAATTATGTATATCCTTGTGTATGTTTTGTAGATAGCTCAGGCCATGTCTGATGGGATGCCAACACATGAAGTGGTTAAGAATGTACCGGAACTACAGAATCTCCCAGAGAGTGACATCAAAAACAAGTAAACAACCTGCAATTCCTACACATTAGTCTTACACACTGTGGGTCAGGTCTGTCTAGTTTAACACACTGTGAGTAAGGTTTGTGTAGTCTTGCACACTGTGTCAGGTCTGTCTAGTCTTACACACTGTGGGTAAGGTTTGTGTAGTCTTACACACTGTGGGTAAGGTCTGTCTAGTCTTACACACTGTGAGTCAGGTTTGTGTAGTCTTACACACTGTGGGTCAGGTATGTCTAGTCTTAAACACTGTGGGTAAGGTTTGTGTAGTCTTACACACTGGGTCAGGTCTGTCTAGTCTTTCACACTTGGTCCAGTGTGTCTAGTCTTTCACACTGTGGGTAAGATTTGTGTAGTCTTACACACTGGGTCAGGTCTGTCTAGTCTTACACACTGTGGGTCCAGTGTGTCTAGTTTTTCCCACTGTGTCAGGTTTGTGTAGTCTTACACACGGTGAGTAAGGTTTGTGTAGTCTTACACACGGTGAGTAAGGTTTGTGTAGTCTTGCACACTGTGTCAGGTCTGTCTAGTTTTTCGCACTGGGTCAGGTCTGTCTAGTCTTACACACTGTGAGTCAGGTCTGTGTAGTCTTACACACTGTGTGTCAGGTCTGTGTAGTCTTACACACCGTGTGTCAGGTCTGTGTAGTCTTACACACTGTGTGTCAGGTCTGTCTAGTCTTACACACTGTGTGTCAGGTCTGTCTAGTCTAACACACTGTGGGTCAGGTCTGTCTAGTCTAACACACTGAGTCAGGTATGTGTAGTCTTACACACTGTGTGTCAGGTCTGTCTAGTCTAACACACTGAGTCAGGTCTGTGTAGTCTTACACACTGTGGGTCAGGTCTGTCTAGTCTAACACACTGGGTCAGGTCTGTCTAGTCTTACACACTGTGTGTCAGGTCTGTCTAGTCTTACACACTGTGGGTCAGGTCTGTCTAGTCTAACACACTGAGTCAGGTCTGTCTAGTCTAACACACTGAGTCAGGTCTGTGTCAGGATCTATAGGTTTACAGTGTTACTTATTGTGATTTTTTTTACAGAACGAAAGTGTTACGGTCTGCTGTCTGTCGTCTGATGGAGGTTGCTCGACATCTCAAGGCAAGGCGTGTGAGAGGTGGGGCACTTGAGCTTGAGAGCACAGAAGTTCAGATACAACTGACAGAGACCAAAAGTGTGGAGAACCTCACACCTAAAGAGGTACATCTAGCTATAGACATCTATATCAGTGGTTATTCTACATTTTAAAGCACTTTCCATGCTGTAAATATTGTATGAAAATATAATTGCACTTATTGAATTTTGCGTATTTTGTTTTCTAACACGTATTATTTGCTAATCTTTTAAAACATGATGTGTTAAATTTTCAATATTTTTTTCTAAATTACATTGCAAATGCTATGTTTCAAACACCGTATGTTATAACAAAATAGATGATAATGACATAATAATATATTTATTTAAGCAAACGACAGTAATGATATTATTTGTAGCCACACACTTCATAAATGTTTTTATTGATAATATTTATATGTTTTACAATATTCAGCATCTAGAAGTCCACGAAACAATAGCTGAATGCATGATTTTCGCAAACCATTGGGTAGCAAAGAAAATCGCACAGGCATTTCCAAACTCAGCCTTGGTAAGCATTATAAGTTAATTGAAACTGAATGGAAATCTTTGCAAGTAAGCAATCAAACTGATTTTTTTTAAATTATGTATTTTCCCCATTATTCTAACTGATGATATATACAGGGGGTAATATGGGATTGTTCACTATACTGTATTGTGTATTACTATTCAAACGGTTTTGTTAACTGCCTATATATTTGGCTTTGATTAAAAAATGTGTTTTTAGATAAGCATTTTCTTCTAGTACAACATATTTCCATTTGCTACTGTCCTCATATATACTTTATAACTGGAAAGATTTCAGAAAATAGTGTACGGTATTCTTTAAAACAAAAAGAGGAAATAAAGAGAAAAGTGGATTAAGATGTTCAGTATGCCTTCAAATTAAGGAAGTGTCGATTCCCAAATATACTTCAGAAAAGTTCTGCCAAAAGTATTTGTGTACATGATCTCTTTAAGATTTAGGGCATATACATGTACTTTAAACTATGAAATTGTTATGCAATTGGGGTTACTAATGCTAGCCTTTTATATTACACTCTGTTCATGTTTATTGTCCCCCACCATAAAATCTTTCTCTTCTGTGTTACTTCAATTTCATGTATGCTGTTATGTACATACTAAAATCAGAAGGAGGCACATTGTTGACAGTGTTGCTATGCATTAATAATATTCTACAAGTCAGCCTAACTTGTAAAAACGAACTGTTTGAAAATAAGCTGTTGATTTCTTCAAAAACAATTTATCCGAAAAATAGGATGTTATTGAAAGTAAGCTTTACAGTATTTTTTACGAATGCTTTCAGGAAGAAAAATTTATTTGCTGATTAGTGATTCAAATGTATATGTACTGCAACTTTTTGAAAATTGTTATTTATAGGTGTTCTTTTCTTGTATCATCTCATGATGATTTAATTTTGAGTTATTTATAATTTATTTGTAGTTGCGGCATCATCCTTTACCCAGAGAGGAGAAATTTGAGAACCTGCTCACCTGTGCGAGCGCAAAGAACTATAACGTACATACAGACTCTAGTAAAGCTCTGGCAGAGTCACTGGACACGTGTGATGACGCAAACGATCCTGTCATTAACAAGGTAAGCAAGCACTATACAGGTGTGATGACACAAACGATCCCGTCATTAACAAGGTAAGCCCACACTTTACAGGTGTGATGACACAAACGATCCCATCATTAACAAGGTAAGCCCACACTTTACAGGTGTGATGATGTAAACGTTCCCATCATTAACAAGGTAAGCAAGCACTATACAGGTGTGATGACACAAACGATCCTGTCATTAACAAGGTAAGCCCACACTATACAGGTGTGATGTCGCAAACGATCCCGTCATTAACAAGGTAAGCCCACACTTTACAGGTGTGATGTCGCAAAGGATCCCATCATTAACAAGGTAAGCCCACACTATACAGGTGTGATGTAGCAAACGATCCCATCATTAACAAGGTAAGCCCACACTATACAGGTGTGATGTAGCAAACGATCCCATCATTAACAAGGTAAGCCCACACTTTACAGGTGTGATGACACACACGATCCCATCATTAACAAGGTAAGCTCACAATATACAGGTGTGATGTCGCAAACGATCCTGTCATTAACAAGGTAAGCACACTCTATCTGTTATGTCACTTTTCACTATTCAAAAGAGTTTTCAAAATTGTCAGGTTTGCAATATTGCTTCAAATGAAATGTTGTCATCATAACGTTAGATAATTTCCCCCCATTTTGTATAAGTCACATCAATATAAACAACGTTTATTTGCTTAGTTAAAGCATTGGGTAAGTGTATTGTTACCCTGTTACAGCTAATGAGGTCTCTGGCTACCATGGCGATGTCCAATGCTGCCTATTTCTCTACTGGGGCCTTACCGCTTGATCAGTTTTTCCACTATGGGCTGGCCCTGGATCTGTATACACACTTCACGTCACCAATCAGGAGATACGCCGACATTGTGGTAAGGATTCGACCCAAGCTCTCTGCACAACAAGCTTCTAGTATTACAGATTTCAATATTCCTTCTGTGTAATTAACTTAACATTCAACTGCTTTTCTGGTTTGTAATTGCTAAAATGAAAGTCCAGGGCTTGGTTCTATGATGATTTTGTCGACAACTAAACAAAACAGTCCAGTTACAGTGTTTAACTGTCCATACACCCATCACACATTGATCACATGGTTTAGTACGTATTTTTAGAGCAGGAAGACCCTTTTGATATGTATCGGAATGTGTGTCGGTGTGAAAGCAAAGGTTACACAGATAGTTCACCATAAACTTTAAACATCAGTGCATCAAATCATGACTTTCTTAAATTTTAGGTACACAGACAGTTGATGGCAGCTGTCAGCAAAGTCACCGATACTAGTGGTCTCCCTAGCAACAAGGAGCTGGAGGAGTTGTCTGAGCACATCAACCATCAACATAGGGTAAACATTTCAGTAGTGTTAATACAGACATTTACATTTACACTGGGTGTGTGTGATCTCGAGGGTACCACATGTGCTGTAATGTACAGGGTCACGATAGGCTAATAGGTGGACAGCGACATGATACATACTCAATGAGCAGGATGTATAATACAATATGCATGCAGGGAATATTTTCCTAGTACTTGGATGATTGTGCTCTGCATTAAATTGCTCTCTTGTGTAATTTCAAGTTAAAGTAATTTTAGTCCACTCAAATGAAAATATGTGGAGTATTTTTGTATCAGGCAAACTTAACCTAAAATGTAACTGATCAGCTATAAACACGTGTACATGGATGAGATGGTCACAGAATAACTGGAGAGCATGCTGCAATTAGCCAATTCATTTGTCTTGGTTTGATACAAATCTGAAAGGCCCATCAACACAGTATTAAGTCATACAGGGCGACATGGTAGAAAAAGTGTAAACCATACGTGTGCTGAGGGAGAAACTAGAGTAAAAAGTGACAGAAAAATGGTAGAAAACTGAGTCCCAAATATTGCAATAGCTACAGCAGGTGAGTTTTTCAGACGAAAACTGTAGATCGCCCCGCCCCTGCCCCCCCTATTATTAGTTACTTCATACAGTCACGCAGAAGAATACAGTACAGCAGGCCGGTTCTTTTTCTTTGAACCTGCAAGGATATGGTTGGTACAAAGTATTCCACTCTCGATCATGTTGCAACTCAACTATCATGATCACTTTGGTACTTAGGTATACATGCAATCGTTCACCAGCTACATTTAGAACAAATAGTAGTAACACAACGATTACATTCTTTGACATTAGCCATCCAATTGACAAAACATTTTGCTTAAGTTTTATAAGGTAATGTTATGTGAACAAATTAACAGCGAATTGTTTCTAACCTTGGTTTTCAGGCATCCCAGAATGCTCAGCGGGACTCGCAGGAACTTTTTCAGTACCTTTTCTTTAAGGGACGTAACCCTGAGGATGAGTGTTGTACCGTAGACGCTGTGATCTACCAGCTCAGAGCCAACGGCGTGTTTGTTCTCGCACCGAGGTTAGTGATGCTTTGTTAACCTGATCCTGTTGGTGTGTGTTGTAACTTATGGACAGATGTTGTTTGTTGTTAAGTTAACTGTTTTATGAAAGGTCACATGCCTGTTGACAGGTGTCAGTTTATTAAGTTAAGTTTGTTGACATGTGTTGTTTTGTTGACAGGTATTGCAATGGAAGGTGCTGTGTTTTGTTGACAGCTATTTGTTTACAGATGTCATGCTTGTTGAAAAATGTAAAATTTATTGGCAGGTGTTGTGTTTCTTAACAGGTATGGAATAAAGGGTCCCGTATACCTGAAGAACAAGGAAGGCCAGGTGGTCTATGTCCAGTCTGATGGTCAGTTAGAATGGTCAGGAGGCAGCATCATCAAGACTGACCACACCATATCAGTCCAAAGCATGTTTGGTACCCAGAGCTACAGACTGCTAGACCACATCACAGTAAGTAGACAGGTGACAGTAGGTCTGTATCTAGACCATATCACAGTAAGTAGACAGATGCCAGTAGGTATGTATCATATTCGCTATAGACCACATCACAGTAAGTAGACAGGTGAGAGTATGTTTGTATCTAGACCACATCACATTAAGTAGACAGGTGACAGTAGGTCTGTATCAAGTTCGCTATAGACCCCATCACAGTTAGTAGACAGGTGACAGGAGGTCTGTATCAAGTTACATCACAGTAAATAGACAGGTGACAGTAGGTCTGTATCAAGATCGCTATAGACCCCATCACAGTAAGTAGACAGGTGACAGTAGGTCTGTATCTAGACCACATCACAGTAAGTAGACAGATGTCAGTAGGTCTGTATAAAGTTCGCTATAGAATACATCACAGTAAGTAGACAGGTGACAGTATGTTTGTATCTAGACCACATCACATTAAGTAGACAGGTGACAGTAGGTCTGTATCAAGTTACATCACAGTTAGTAGACAGGTGACAGTAGTTCTGTATATAGACCACATCACAGTAAGTACACAGGTGTCAGTAGGTCTGTATCTAGTTACATCACAGTAAGTAGATAGGTGAGAGTATGTTTGTATCTAGACCACATCTCATTAAGTAGACAGGTGACAGTATGTCTGGATCTAGACCACATCACAGTATTTAGACAGGTGACAGTAGGTATGTATCAAGTTACATCACAGTACGTAGACAGGTGACAGTATGTCTGGATCTAGACCACATCACAGTAAGTAACAGGTGACAGTAGGTCTGTATCATAAAGTTCGCTATAGAATACATCACAGTAAGTAGATAGGTGACAGTATGTTTGTATCCAGACCACATCACATTAAGTAGACAGGTTACAGTAGGTCTGTATCAAGATCGCTGTAGACCACATCACAGTAAGTACACAGGTGTCAGTAGGTCTGTATCTATACCACATCACAGTAAGTAACAGGTGTCAGTAGGTCTGTATCTATACCACATCACAGTAAGTAACAGGGGACAGTAGGTCTGTATCTAGACAACATCACATTAAGTAGACAGGTGACAGTATTGCTGTATCTAGACCACATCACCGTAAGTAGACAGGTGTCAGTAGGTCTGTATAAAGTTACATCACAGTAAGTGGACAGGTGACAGTAGGTCTGTATCTAGACCACATCACAGTAAGTAGACAGGTGACAGTAGTTCTGTATCTAGACCACATCACAGTACGTAACAGGTGACAGTAGGTCTGTATCTAGACCACATCACAGTAAGTAGACAGGTGTCAGTAGGTCTGTATCTAGACCACATCACAGTAAGTAACAGGTGACAGTAGGTCTGTATCAATTTACATCACAGTAAGTAGACAGGTGTCATTAGGTCTGTATCAAGTTACATCACAGTAAGTTGACAGGTGACAGTAGGTCTGTATCAAGTTACATCACAGTAAGTAGACAGGTGACAGTCGGTCTGTATCAAGTTACATCACAGTAAGTAACAGGTGTCAGTAGGTCTGTATCTAGTTACATCACAGTAAGTAACAGGTGACAGTAGGTCTGTATCTAGACCACATCACAGTAAGTAGACATGTGTCAGTAGGTCTGTATCAAGTTCGCTATAGACCACATTACAGTAAGTAGACAGGTGACAGTAGGTCTGTATCAATTTACATCACAGTAAGTAGACAGGTGTCATTAAGTCTGTATCAAGTTACATCACAGTAAGTAGACAGGTGACAGTAGGTCTGTATCTAGTTACATCACCGTAAGTAGACAGGTGACAGTAGGTCTGTATCTAGACCACATCATAGTAAGTAGACAGGGGTCAGTAGGTCTCTATCTAGACCACATCACAGTAAGTAGACAGGGGTCAGTAGGTCTGTACCTAGACCACATCACAGTAAGTAACAGGTGACAGTAGGTCTGTATCAATTTACATCACAGTAAGTAGACAGGTGTCATTAAGTCTGTATCAAGCTACATCACAGTAAGTAGCCAGGTGACAGTAGGTCTGTATCAAGTTCGCTATAGCCCACATCACAGTAAGTAGACAGGTGACAGTAGGTCTGTATCTAGACCACATCGCAGTAAGTAGACAGGTGACAGTAGGTCTGTATCTAGACCACATCATACTAAGTAGACAGTTGTCAGTAGGTCTCTATCTAGACCACATCACAGTAAGTAGACAGGGGTCAGTAGGTCTGTACCTAGACCACATCACAGTAAGTAACAGGTGACAGTAGGTCTGTATCTAGACCACATCGCAGTAAGTAGACAGGTGACAGTAGGTCTGTATCAATTTACATCACAGTAAGTAGACAGGTGTCATTAAGTCTGTATCAAGCTACATCACAGTAAGTAGCCAGGTGACAGTAGGTCTGTATCAAGTTCGCTATAGCCCACATCACAGTAAGTAGACAGGTGACAGTAGGGCTGTATCTAGTTACATCACAGTAAGTAGACAGGTGACAGTAGGGCTGTATCTAGTTACATCACAGTAAGTAGACAGGTGACAGGAGGTCTGTATCAAGTTACATCACAGTAAGTAGCCAGGTGACAGTAGGTCTGTATCAAGTTCGCTATAGACCACATTACAGTAAGTTGACAGGTGACAGTAGGTCTGTATCAAGTTACATCACAGTAAGTTGACAGGTGTCAGTAGGTCTGTATCAAGTTACATCACAGTAAGTTGACAGGTGACAGTAGGTCTGTATCAAGTTACCTCACAGTAAGTAGACAGGTGACAGTAGGGCTGTATCTAGTTACATCACAGTAAGTAGACAGGTGACAGTAGGTCTGTATCAAGTTCGCTATAGACTATTAAAAGTAGGTAAATGATGGAGCGTCAACACCAAGGATTCCGTAAATGTAAGTTTTAGTGGTTTACATGTTTCGGATGGCAAGGCCAGCTGTCATCAGTGCCTAGTCAACCGAAACATGTTAACTAATGAAACTTACATTTACGGAATCCCTGGTGTTGACACTCCATCACTTACCTACTTGTAGTTACCTCCCTTTGGTGGAACTCTACTAGAACACTTCTGTCCCACCTCGGATCCCTACACCAGTACATCGACCGACCATTACCCACAGGACATTGGATCACCTAGCTCAATGGTTTTAAAATGCTAACTCAGACTTCATGATATTTGTGCTTCAGGTGAGGATAACTCTAAACAACTCGTGGGCACACTCCTCTGGCGTGCGACTCGAGTTGGTGGACGGCCAACCACACCTGTCTGGGTCATCAGGTGGAGACAATCTGACCAAACAACAGAAGGCAGCTATCATCAAGGTCAGTTACATAAAGACATTTAAAATATCCTCAGTACCCCCAATATAACCTGTATGATGTGAATCACTGATAACGTTAGGTATTGTGTTACTGGTATGAGTGTCACACAAATCGCTGTCACTAAAACAGATCTTTTAACAGGGTGTTCAAGTTGTCAGATTTAGAATTCATTGACATAGTATCCATAAAGATATTCATACACCATATTTCTTTTGGTTTTCAGGAAGTTTCTGAAGCAGCAGAAGAGAAAAAAGGTCAAAGGTCAAGTCATGATCTTGGCGTAAACTTTGAGGAACTGAAGAAGGAGTATGGACAGTCTTCTAGTGACCACAACATGTACAACTTATTTCAGTCCTTCAAAGAAACGGCTCTCAAATGTTGAGGAGGGTTTGACAATGGTCGTGACATAACACACACAGGTGTGCTATAATGCAGCTTTTGATGATCCAGGCACATACATTCCCCCTAAGTAACTGGAATACTGGGACAGTTTTGTATCGAAGAACGTGAAGCGATTCATGGTCTCAAATTATTGGGGGCTGGACCAACAAGGTTTGCCCGTATGTCACAACACTGTCCTCCACAACCTGCGTGTGTTATATTTCTCATATTTCTGTGATCATTTGTACTGTTTAAACAGTGATATTGATACATGACTGCATAATCAAAATGAAACGTGTCTGAACTGAATATGATGGTACCAATGTCCGGAGTGCTTATTACCCAATGGGACCTTCCTGAAGAACTCCAAGAGTTTAAAGTTTTGTTTATATGGCTGTGCAGTTTTACCTGAATAACTCAGGTGACCTGTTGTGATCACCTTTGCTACATCATATTTTTTTTATCTTCTCCTTAATTAGAAACCCTCAAAGAGGCTTTGGTGAAACTTTGGGGTAATCTTCTGCCTGTGGTAGGGATCAGATTCTACTAATAATAGTTTTACTCAAAAAGTGTCTGGACTCCTGTCAGAGAGTGAAAAATCTTTAAATGACAGTGGATTTTCACCAGCATTCTGTAAAATGATCCTCAAGTGCTAGCAGGTGATCAGAACCTACACTCAAGCAAGGGACTGATCCACCAAGGGGCTGATCCACCAAGGGGCTGATCCACCAGGGGTCTGATTATTGTTGGTAACCATATATGGTCAATGAGTGCAAAATATTCAAATGATATTTTCCTTTGGAAATTTACTGGTAGAATTAGATGTCCAACATTTCATTAAATGATATTAAGATGATGACCCTCAAAACAAATTGCTGGTGGATTTAGACCTAATTTTTGTGATATTATTCTTTGCTTACTAGGCCCCTAATTCGGGGACACATACTTGCCCCATTGGAGTGTTATTCATTGAAGTTGGACCAACTAAACATTCTGTGTGTCATACCTAATTTCACTCAGGTAATTTATGGGCCTCTTGTTAACTTTTATACATGTATTATGTATTATATAGTAAGGAATACAGAATTATGTTAAATACATGTATATGTATTTACTTTGGTACTGCCTATCCGTTATCATGAAAACATTGGTATAATTGTCTGAATGCAAGAATTTGGGCTTGTAAATATTTTCCAAGTAGATACTGTTTTAACATTTCCATCATGCTTTCAGAGTAAATGTAACTGGAAACCAACTATACAAAGTCATGCTGTTTGTTAGTTCTGAAATTGAATGGAATTTTCAGGTTCTGATTTACTTTGCGAATTTACTGTGCTCTTCTGGGAATCGGCTGTAATATTTGAATGGTTGTTAAGATATTTTGATGAATTTTTTATACACTTATTTGTACCAAAAGAATATTGAGTTGACGTGGATTTGTTTTTCCACTTTGATGGAAAACTAGAGAAATTAGGAGCCACAATACTGGAACTGTGTCAACTCATTCACCCCTGAAGACACATGTGAACTCTTCCAGTTCAAAGGTTGAAATAGTTCATTATGAAATTTCAGGGGTGAATGAGTTGAATTGCCCTCTCATTCCAAGACCAAAATAAAAGGGGCAAAACATTACTTGTATTTCAATACCGGTAAGGGCTGTTCCAGAATTAACTGTAGGGGATAGGTTGGAGGCACATTTTTCCGAAACCCCACCACCCATAACATTTCAATAGTAATTTAATATTATAAATGCTAGACAGATCCGATTTAACCCATCACCCATATTATAAATGCTAGACAGATCCGATTTAACCCATCACCCATATTATGATAATACATGTACAGGTGCCCCCCACCTCGCCATACCATTAACTACAGAATAGCTCTTATTTGTAGTGGAAGCGAGACTCAGGAAAAAGCTTTTCCGCCGATGGCGTCAACATTAAGTTTTTGCGTTTAGGTTAGTTTCACCGAGTGTATAAGTGCTAGACCAACCAAACTTGGACCATAGATGCATCTTAGGTAGTACATCGCAACCCATACATGAAATGCTTGATGCAGCCTACCTTTCATGGTCCATTAATTTATTCAGCATCTCCATCAACATTAAGTTTTTGCTTTTAAGTTAGTTTCCCTGATATGTGCATTGATGGTCAAAGCGGGGCACAGGCGAGACATATCAATCCGAATGGCTTGTTTTTATAAAAATTGTATTGGGGTTTTCATGAATTTATGCTGTAAGCATTGTACCAGTGACTTATGTTTTTACAGAACTTCAGTACCTAACGAGTGTTATATTTTTGTTACAATTTTATACAATGAATTTACCCTTCATCAGGGAATACTCTATATACCGGGAAATTTTTGCTGCAGTTTTAATTTTTCGCCAATGAGGGTGAATTCATAATAACAGCGAATATAAATACACATCATGCCATATGTAGTAATTACATGTGACTGGCGTAAATAACACTGGGCAAACAGGGATTTTAATCGGAAAAGGGCAAATATTAGACTGGACGGTATATATACAGAAATTGATGTGTGGATAAAAATTGGATTTCTGATTCAACATGCTGTTATTAATAATGATGTACCTGATAATCATCAGGTTGACAATCACAACCATAAGAATTGCAGCTGTTTTTGTCGATTTTCATATATTTTTAATTTGTATATAACAATTTATACTATTTATAAGGATTAATCTGCTCAGTAAATGTGTAAATACAGTGCTATAAGCGGGAATCGTGTTAATTGGTTGTTATGTGCTTGTACTGACACAGTACATCTGTCAACAGAAAAGTGATTGAACAAATAAATGGATTGAGAAATTTGTATTTATATATGTGTTAAGAGCTGTTCTATCCAAGGGAATGTTGGATAATTAAAAAGAATTGTACGACATGAAACTGTGTGTTTGTATTAAAATGAATTTCATATTGATTAGCTAACTTAACCCAAGGAGTCTATCTATCCCATGGTGTATCATCTACCCATCAATTGTCATCTTTTTCTTCAGAATCATGGGCATTGCAAGTAGCTCCTTGGGATTAAGTCCAACAAAGTTTGCCAAAAAAAAAGAAGGATGACCATGAACTACTTTCAACTGAATGAAGATATTTGCCAGTACTTTTTTGACATGAAATGCGACAAAATGTGTTGACCACAATACATTTCTTTCTAAAGAGCCGATAGGCCCAAGTCATGAAATGTACCCAGTAGCTTGCTGGCATAAATTGCACCTTGACTGATATACAAGGTCTTCGGGTCAGATTGTTATATTTGTATTTCATGTAAACACACAACTGACCTATGATGAAAAATAAAAATTGCCTCCATACATGTATTTGGTCGGTAGCTTGCTGGCATGGAATGCTATGAATGATACATATATTTATGTGCAAGTGGCATAGATGACCTTTGCCACTATTCAAGGTCACAGGAGTCAAATGTGTTATAGTAATTAACTTATGAATAACTGAAAGTTCCTTATAAGCGTCAGCTGTAGGGAATTTCCCTTTAGCTCAGCGCTAGAGTATCGGGCTGGAGAGCCAAGGGTCGCAGGTTCGAGTCCAAGCGACAGCACTATCTTATTCACTATTCCTAGTCCTACTACATAACAAAGAGGGATATATGGCTAGTAGCATGCTGGATGCTCAAAGTGAATGACCTTGACCCACTTTCATGGTCATGAGTCATAAAAGATAAATCTGAAGAATTATTTTAAATAGAGATTGACAATGTTTTTAATTTCCATGCTGGTATGAATGTAAATCAGTTAAATCCATATAGCGGGCTTCATGTTTAATATGGATGTAACCGATTTGCGTTCATACCGGTATGAAAATTTAAAAAAACGCTGTTCAATCCATATATATACATTTTCACTATAGAACAATTGTTTAACTTTATATATTTGTTCTTAAATTATTTATTTATTTACTGTGTTTTGCATATGCTTCATACGTTAAACTATGGTAACTAAAATTGGTGCCAACAATTAACTGTAGTCATTTGAGCATTTGATGCAGGGGCATTCTCCATGTTATTTGAAGCGATGCGACAAGACTCATTGAGCAAGGTTAATCTATGACGTCACAAGTAAACCACGGGTTACGTCACGAGAGTTTTTGCTTTCATACTCAAAATGAAATGCTTTTCTGCTGGTTATGTTCATATAGTGGGTTTCAGCGCAAATGTAAATATAGATTCATAAGGATCAGAGAGACAATTATTTCCTAGTAGCTTGTTGGAACTAGAAATTGAAAACATCTCTGAAGTCCTGTTTGACCCTGTGAATGAAAACACAAATAAAATACAGAACAATGAATATATTGTGTTAACCCTCTTTATTCAAATAGTAACCCATAATAATTTCTGTTGAACAGGCAATATACACCAAAAAAAGGAAAATATACCAAAACATGATATTAACACCAGTTCAGTCTGGTTACCAGAACAACTAGCATTATACTAAACCAGTAAACTTTTAAACAGGAATGTTCCCCTACAGAAGCAATGGCCCTGCATTTAGTTTAAAACAAAAAACTTGGATAATGACAAGTGATGTTTGTAACGGGTCAATGGTTTCAAACATTGAAAATCAATCGACACCAATTTGTTATTGATAGTGACGTTTGTCTGTGTACTTATCTTCTGTCTAGTTAATTCAGTAACAAGTACACATCTCACCATCAGAACGCTAGTATATGTCATTACGGACTACACTAGAAATCCGTAGGAAAGAGCACGGGTGATTGCAGCTATTGTAAGATTATGGGTTTATACATGTATTATGTATCGGGATTCTCAAACTTCCTGTCTATTCCACCTTTCCTATGGATCCACTTAAAATTTTTGGATATTATTATTCAATGAATATCCAACAGAACTTCACAAGTCATATCACATGTTACCTTGCCAATGGAGCCCTTCAACAAATATCCACATTTAATTTTGATGGAATGAAATACTTGGACATTTTGCCAGATATATGTCCGTTGCGAAATGTCTAAAGTCTGGTGTCAGGGCCAGAGGAAACTCAGGCTTATTTTTGCACTGAACCAACAGATCAGACAGCATGGTTTAGCATTAAATTAACAGATAAAGGGCATTTTGGTGAAAAATATCAAAATATTCACCCCCACGTGCGACGTTATTCATCAGAAAAGAAAAATTATTCTCTATTTACATCATTATTCAAGACATCAAACAGGAATTCCACTAGTTGTAGACATAGAGTATTTTACAACAACTTTGATTGAGTTTGATTGTCTTCTTAGCATGGCTCGACTAACACAGTAAAATGAGGACGGCATTGGCTTGTGAAAATCTGTTGAATATTGAATCATCAAAAGTGAATTACATCAGTGGAATAGACTTTGTAGATAAAATTGAAGGATTTCTCTCTAAATATATATATTTTAATATTTGCTCTCCAATAAACTAGGATTTCTTTTCTAATAAAAAAAAAAAATCTTCGGTTAGTAATACATAAAACATTTACATATAATTACCACTCCACTGTTGAAACAGCTACATATTATAATACAGAATCATAAACGTCGATCAAACACTACCTACGGTAAAATTGAATAATCTGAAGATTCTTTTTTATGATTGCTCTTTCTTTACCTCAGTTCAGAGGTCTAACCAACACCATATCAAAGTCAAACATTCCGTAACGAGAATCATCTAACGCGGTTTCATTATAAAACCTCTTCACTGATCACAAAGACAAAAACTCTTCTTAACTTGAGTTGCCGAAAAAAGGCAAAGAAATTTTAGGGCATGGCAACACTGAAATGTGCCATCCTGGTTGAATTTGCTTTCATGACAAAATTTAATGATACGTAAACAATTCTGTGGAAGCATGCACGTCACAAGCAAAATATTGTGTATATTCATGGTATGATCCAAACTTCCTGAATCACAGACTTAAGTGTCTAGACAGGAGGGGTTCAAATGTACCTAAATAAGTTGCTGAAGTGTGGACTGAAGTATCCCGACACTATCTGATGTACATACATAGGTTGCTGAAGTGTGGACTGAAGTATCCCGACACTATCTGATGTACATACAGAGGTTGCTGAAGTGTGGACTGAAGTATCCCGACACTATCTGATGTACATACAGAAGTTGCTGAAGTGTGACTGAAGTATCCTGACACTATCTGATGTACCTAAATAAGTTGCTGAAGTGTGGACTGAAGTATCCCAACACTATCTGATGTACATACATAGGTTGCTGAAGTGTGGACTGAAGTATCCTGACAGTATCTGATGTACATACAGAAGTTGCTGAAGTGTGTACTAGATACCTGTACCGTAATTCCAGTCTACATAATTGCGAGTGTAAACATGTAGAGGTACATATATAATGATCCCGGAGAGTTGCACCTCAGTCACGTTCGAATGGGTGATACACAGAATGTTTCCACAAATGTACAAGAACAGTTGAACAGTTACAACTTCCAAAGCCACAAAATGCACAAACATCCAGCCAGAAAGCGAAAACAAAGTTTTGTGCATTTGTATTGTATACTTAACACCTGACCATCTACACATATATAACACAATAAGTTTATCCCGTTTTTTACCACACATGGTTGAACTTGTGAGTGTTTTCTCCCAAAACACAAAATAGTGCATTGTATGTTTACACATACGGGCGTGACAAATGATCGGGTGTAATCATGCTGGCTAGATGTACATATATACAGACATGACGTAGGATTGGGTGTAACCACGCTTGTAAGATGTACACGTATACAGGTATGACACAGTATGAGGTGAAATTACGCTGGCTAGATGTACATATAACAGGTGTAACACCATATGAGGGAATCATGCTGGCTAGATGTACATATATACAGGTGTGACGAAATATCGAGTGTTATCACGCTGGCTAAATATAACTATAATGGCATGACAGTGTTATCATGCTGGCTAGATGTACATTGACACCAGCGTGACACACCAAGGGTTTTAACCATGCTGGCTAGATGTACATTGACACCAGCGTGACACACCAAGGGTTTTAACCATGCTGGCTAGATGTACATTGACACCAGCGTGACACACCAAGGGTTTTAACCATGCTGGCTAGATGTACATTGACACCAGCGTGACACACCAAGGGTTTTAACCATGCTGGCTAGATGTACATTGACACCAGCGTGACACACCAAGGGTTTTAACCATGCTGGCTAGATGTACATTAACACCAGCGTGACACACCAAGGGTTTTAACCATGCTGGCTAGATGTACATTAACACCAGCGTGACACACCAAGGGTTTTAACCATGCTGGCTAGATGTACATTAACACCAGCGTGACACACCAAGGGTTTTAACCATGCTAGCTAGATGTACATTAACACCAGCGTGACACACCAAGGGTTTTAACCATGCTAGCTAGATGTACATTTACACCAGCGTGACACACCAAGGGGTTTAACCATGCTGGCTAGATGTACATTAACACCAGCGTGACACACCAAGCGTTTTAACCATGCTGGCTAGATCTACATTTACACCAGCGTGCCACACCAAGGGTTTTAGCCATGCTGGCTAGATCTACATTTACACCAGCGTGACACACCAAGGGTTTTAACCATGCTGGCTAGATGTACATTAACACCAATGTGACACACCAAGGGTTTTAACCATGCTGGATAAAATATACACATCCACCTTACTGCAGAAGCTGGTCTCAGTTTCCCAAATATTACAGAAACTTCAAATCAACCAATCCGACGCGACTTGATTTTTATCGGTCAGAACAAAAGTCCACAAATGATAAATGTAGCCAGCCTATGGATAACTATCTGATTTTGGTGATATCAAAATCTGACAAAGGGAAATATTTTTTGGAGACCCAAAGCAGGATAAAACAAAAAAGATGCAGCAGAATCATATAAGCACACATGCTCTGTTGTGATCAAGGCATTTTCCCCAAGAATGATTCATGTCCAATGTAAAGAACCCTTGGACACACTTATTACTTTCTGATAATGTATTTAAAAGGTGTCAGTGACTGTCAAACCTTACAAAAACCGGGGACAAACAAGACGAGAAAGAATCCTGGTACCATTCACCCAGGTGTTACTAACGAAAGGNTTGACACACCAAGGGTTTTAACCATGCTGGCTAGATGTACATTAACACCAGCTTGACACACCAAGGGTTTTAACCATGCTGGCTAGATGTACATTGACACCAGCGTGACACACCAAGGGTTTTAACCATGCTAGATAAAATATACACATCCACCTTACTGCAGAAGCTGGTCTCAGTTTCCCAAATATTACAGAAACTTCAAATCAACCAATCCGACACGACTTGATTTTTATCGGTCAGAACAGAAGGCCACAAATGATAACAGTGTAGCCAGCCTATGGATAACTATCTGATTTTGGTGATATCAAAATCTGACAAAGGGAAATATTTTTTGGAGACCCAAAGCAGGATAAAACAAAAAAGAAGCAGCAGAATCATATAAGCACACATGCTCTGTTGTGATCAAGGCATTTTCCCCAAGAACGTTTCGTGTTCAATGTAAAGAACCCTCGGACACACTTATTACTTTCTGATAATGTATTTAAAAGGTGTCAGTGACTGCCAAACCTTACAAAAACCGGGGACAAACAAGATGAGAAAGAATCCTGGTACCATTCACCCAGGTGTTACTAACGAAAGGATAGGGATTAAAAAGAACTACTAACCATGAAAGATTCATATGTTTAGTACGGACCTACTGATACAATTACTGCCTTCAATTTTTGGAAGTGTAATTTCCAAGTTGACGCAGAAGATTGCAAAATTGTGCAGTGTTTCTGGTTTGCTCTTGTTTTAACAAGCTTGCAGATTCAGCTTACCACAAAATCGTTGAAATAACACCTAAGAATAGAATTGATATTTTCAAGAATCATCATTTCTACAGTTTGTACAATTCATCTGTTTAATGATGTAAGACCCTCATAAAGACCATTAATCTTTCATCTAGACCCTCTTACAGACTGTACTATTCATCTTGTCATGTGGAATGAAATGTTTGTTCACTTTTAAAAGAAACATTTCGGGAGGTGAAGCCTGAAAGGCCTGTTAATGTTAGTACAAGTCTATGAAATCTTTGCTGAGACTTGTCAGGCAATATCCTTTAACCACTGAACTTTGGTGAGAGTCCTACAGACTGTACCACTGATCTGGTCAGGGGTGTTAGCCTCTTCTTCAGACCGTACCACTGATCTGGACAGGGGTGTTAGCCTCTTCTACAGACCGTACCACTGATCTGGTCAGGGGTGTTAGCCTCTTCTTCAGACCGTACCACTGATCTGGTCAGAGGTGTTAGCCTCTTCTTCAGACTGTACCACTGATCTGGTCAGGGGTGTTGGCCCCTTCTACAGAATGTACCACTTATCTGGTCAGGGGTGATAGCCTCTTCTACAGACTATACCACTCCTATGGTCATGATTGTCGGCCTGTCCTACATACAGACTGTGCCATTCATCTGGTCAGGGTTGTGTAAGGCACAAGATAATAAACTTAGGTAAAGAGAATTTTGAATAATCTTCTTGGATGGTTCTCTGTCGGAACTTAGGAATTAGTATTAACTTAGGGGGGAATCAGTATAGCTTGATGTTGACTTTACAGATCATTTATGTATCGTTACATTACAGCATACAGTTGACCATCAGTATATACACTAAACACACAGTTTCACATCAAAACAGGTTGGGCATAAGCAACAAAATATCCTTTCTACTAGAAAAAAAATCTTCAGTCGAAATGTTGAACAGAAAAAATCAACATTTGTGAGAAACTCAAAAGTTTACTCACATCATTTGGATACATGTTAAGAATATATTTACAATACATAAATATTCTTTCAGAACATCAGCACTCAGTTCAAATAATCAACAACTTTAAACACATTACATGATATATTTCTACGATGATAAACAAAACACAATTATACACCAAGATATTTTAACTATCAGAGATTTTAAAAATGAAGGAAACAAAATTAATAGATTCACCCTCGGTCTGTGTGACATGTGTACATATCTATTTAACGAGTACGCATTTCATAAATAAATAACATATGGAATAATTTTCTACAAACTAATGTCAGGCATTTCCTAGATATTTCGTGAAATTCCTTCGCGCCTAATTTTGGAAAAATTGGTGACATTATGGAGTGTATCAGGACAACTTTTCTCATTTTTTCTCCATTTTTGTTTGTTTGTTACAAAATGTAGGAATTCTTATAGTTCTTTTTATTTTACAACCGGAAAAAAAGAAAATAAAAAATATGTATTCTGCTATCAAAAGGCTCTTTAAGGTACTAAAACAAAAAGAAGTTATAATATGAAAAGGAAACTGCTGTGCTATTATTGGACATCTTTTCTGTTGTTAGGACTTTTTTTTCAGGTCAGATGGTCAAACTTCTGACAGAGTCTTAGAAATGAAAACAAGTATTACTTGCCGAAAAATAGTAAATAAACTGTATGGAAAAAACAAACACTTAACTTTCTTCCCGTTTTTTGCAGTTTTGTTACCCTTCAAACATGAAAAGCATTTCTAAAGACTGCAATAGAACGGTATACTCTGTTAAAAAGCATCTTGAAAATAACACCATTACACAGGTCCATGTTAATTGTCGCAGGTTGTTCCCAGTGAATATTGAGAAAATAAAACATAAAGATGAGCTGTATACACCAACCACCTGACAAAGAAAAAACCCATAACTGATCATACATATATGAAAGACAATTGATTCAATGATCGAATGTTCTTAACATCCTAAAATATTTACAGTTTGTCACTGATGCTAGCAGCGCTTGTTTGTGTCGCCATTCTGTGACGGACACCTGAGATGGTCTGTGTCCTCTCCCTGTGACACTAGATACGATTCACTTGTAGTTTAATGGGGAGAGGCCCTGCCTCCTGGTCCTGTGGGAAACTCAGCTTGATGCCCATGGCCTCCAGCTCTTTCAAGTACTCCAGATCTCCATTGATACTCAATTTCTGTAGGGACAAAGAGGTCAGAGGTCACATAAGAGTTTGTAGGTCATTACTAACAAGCATCATACTTATCAACAACAGATCACTATTTAACTTGTTTTTTATTCTTGTAATTTTTCACAAGTTTTAAACAATACAAAATACTTTCTTTTAAATAGATGTTCACACACATTTATATCTACATCAGGAAGTAGCACATACATCTGAATTTATCTAGTGTCAATTCATTACGAATGCATACATTTGCCAGGTATATTGTTACAGTACAGGTAAAATGATAGAGAAAATGAGAGAAATTGCACAAGGTGGTCACAAACATACCAGGTAAGTGTCTTATTTTGCGAGCTTTCGAAAAACATCTGATTCCTTTGTTAAGCAAAGAGTGCAAAATAAGGATGGAAATAAGGATGTATTTGACGTATGATTGGAAAAAATTGAGACAAAATATGTTTTTTCTGTTTCTTACATTCATATGTAATTATTTAAATAATGTAACAACAGCACATAACTGACAGTAAAATAAAGCATGATAAAAAATATGTGTTTACTGTGGGAGGTTTTCCACATGTTGCTATGGTAAGTATACTCACTTGACTTTCGGCCTTGACCCTGTGGTCAGGCGCAGTGACTGTGGCAGCTAAACACAGCCAGATCATCATGACCGCACAGGAGAGAAGCAGCAGGCTGAGGAAGAGGCGGGGAAGACCTGTCTTTCGTGACACACATGTCAGCCAGTCACCTGAGCGCTGAGACTCGGGGTCACGCAGGTCAAGTTCAGGCTCACTACGCAGGGGATGCATCTGGGAGCTCCGCAGCATAGGTGTGGCTGACCTGTCCAGGGGCTGCATGTTGGTTTCCAGATAGTTAGCGGTGTTGTACTCTGTAAGGCAATAAAAGGCTGTTTACCCAGAGTTTGCCTTCCATAGATTGTCTACCCAAATGATGTCTAATATATTAAGGAGTGTTTACCAAAGTTTGCCTATCATACAAAATCTTACCAAAGTTAGTCTATTTATGTATGTCAAGCTAAAGTTTGTCTACCAAAGTTTGTGTACCCAAAGATCTACCCAAGGTTGTCCACTGGCAGATTGTCTACCCAAAGTTCCCTCATTATGAAGGATTGCCAAATAAAACTTGTCTACCATTGTTACTTTGACTACACAAGCAAATTCATGGAATTTATATCTCCTGCTTTTATGTATTATAGATAAAGTCTACTGTAACCTTATCATTTATGCATAAATATGCACAGATCACATTCAAAGATATTCTACAAAAATATTTTCTATCCAAAGCTGTTCTATCAAAGAGTATCTAGTCAAACTTTGTCTACCCCAAGGTTGTTTCCAATGTTTGTCTGCCTAAAATTTGTCTCTCAAGGTTGTCTACATTCATATATTTAAGTTTATCTACAAACGATTGTCTATCGTAAGTCTGTTTTTCGAAACAATTTCAACACAAATTTTGAAAACCAAACATTGTCTACCCAAAATATGTCTAACGCTTCACAGTGAAGGTTGTTTACAATAGGTTTTCTACCCGAAGGTCCATCAAAGATATCTACAATAGGGTTTCTACCCGAAGGTCCACCAAAGATATCTAGAATAGGGTTTATACCCGAAGGTCCACCAAAGATATCTACAATAGGGTTTCTACCCGAAAGTCCACCAAAGATATCTACAAAAGGTCTTCTACCCGAAGGTCCACCAAAGATATCTACAATAGGGTTTCTACTCGAAGGTCCACCAAAGATATCTACAAAAGGTCTTCTACCCGAAGGTCCACCAAAGATATCTATAAAAGGTCTTCTACCTGAAGGTCCACCAAAGATATCTACCAAAGGTCTTCTACCCGAAGGTCCACCAAAGATATCTACAAAAGGTCTTCTACCCAAAGACAGTCTACTAATTACATAAAGTTGTCCAACCAAATTTTGTGTGCCAAAAGGCGATCTTTCATACTTTTTTCTACTAAATGTTTGTCTACCTAGAGAATATCAACCAAAAGTTTGTCCTAACAAAAGATATCTTCACAGAGGTTGTTTGCCCAAAGATTGCCTTTCACAACTTGTCTCCCCAAAAGTTAACCGCCCGAAATTATATTATCAAAGGTAGTCTGCCGAAGATTGTCTATCAAATTTGTCACCCGAAAGTTTTCATCAAAGGCATTTATGTGAATTGTACTTTAATACGATTCTAGAAATGTGCGATATTTATTCCACTGACCGTCATCTAGTTCATCTCCCTCCAAGTCGGCGTAGACCTGGGGCTCGGAACGCACCACTATCACCTTCCCATTGTCCGACTGCATGTAGAATGACCAGCTGATGGACATGCCGCTGTACACCTTGTCTATCATATTGCTGTATAGACTGTGTACATACATCAGCGGGTACAGCACATGGATGTTGGGGTCTTCATTCTGAGCCTGAAACAGGTATTAAACATTATCAGATTTTACCTGTGGTAATATGTTTCAGGAAGATACTGTATCGCTTACATAAAGGTTAAGAATAAGAAGGATCAAGGACTTCCGAGAGAAAAGTGGTTCACAGATCCTTCTAAAATTATTGCATCCTGTGGGTTGGAATTAACCTTTATTAAATTATATCAAAAGAAAAGGTGATCTACAACATTTCGTGCACATTACCTTTTTTGGAATGCAAAGAGTTAGGAACAACATGGACAACTTCAGCACAAATTAGTGACTCTGACATCACTTCTATTGATGCCACACTGGATTTTGTTATCTTTCTGGGTTTCGCATCATCACTATAGCTTTGGTCATATGGAGACGATGTCCACACAACATAGGGCCACTCATATGACAGTGTCAACAGGGTAAGAAAAGAAGAATCATTCCCATACTGTGGGTTGAAAGGGGGAGGGATATAAGTGTCTTTAATTAGTTGCCAAACACTCAGAAAGCATCATGTTTGCCAACTTTGGAATCTTTCTCTTAGGGTTGATTTCTCCTTACTTCATTCCCAATGGGATGAATGATCACATTTATCTCTTACATGCTGCAATAAATACTACATTCACTCTCCTCCTATGAAGTTACTAAATCACAACGGCATTCATAGCAGTATGAAAAGCATTTATAGGGACTTAATAGCGTTATTGCGACGTCATCAATGTAACAGTGATAACTGGTCATAAACTGGTATCTGTCAGGAACTGTTCTTTTTATTGAATAAAAATTCACAATAAAACATCTTTGTTTCGATACGAATGCCACTTGTTTATGATAATGATAGTGATCATGATGAATTGCTTCACCGAATTGTTTATTTATATATATACCAGCCTTCTATATTCGGCAAGTTAAATGTTGTTACCGGCTTACACCACAGATTGCATTCTCTTTGCGTATAATGTAGGGGATGCAGCAAAAAAGCAAACAAAGGCAGTTAAAGATATTTTGTTTCATTTTCATGTCTGTATTGTATGCAGTGGCTTGTCGACCAGTGTAGCACTAGTCACAGACAATATGTCCGTTTAGTACATACCATTTCCTGCTGTCTCCTGGCCTGGGGTATCTGGCTCTTACAGCCCAGCGAGCATGCATCACATTCCTCCGTCTTGTTGTAGGCTTCTTCGCATGCTAAAGACAGAAAATGTTTACGATGTTTTATCACAACACACACTTATAACCTAACCAGTAATTTATTACAACTTTCTAATCATATCTCATCAACTTCTGTACTTCAAGCATTTCCCCTATCAGCCTGAATAGAAATACGGCACAGGTTTCCAATCTTCGGAGATGTATGTAAGAATTTTGTTTGTCTCGCCAAATCTGAAAAGTGTCTCATTTGGCGACTTGGCGATCGTTCATGCGAGTGCTGGCCGATGTAAGAACCCTGCTTTGTTGTAAATCACTGAATCATCTTTTCACCAACATTTTGGACTGTAAAACAGTAAATTGGCTAATTCACAGCACAAGGTCAAACATGTTTAGCATACCACAATTACTGTTGGTAAGGTGTTCTGGTAGCGCAAATTTATTATACACAATCTGTAAGTAGGACTTCGCAGTATTTGAGGAGAGTAAACTATATGTAAAAAAAAAATCAATGAAATGCTTAAAATTAAGTTCACCTTAATTTCTCTTTGTCTGACGAGATTTTATCTCAATGAACTTACATGATATACAGCCTTTCTGAGTGAGATTGAAGCTACATTCATGGTCATAAATAAGTTCCATTATGGAGAAAAATCGACATCCTCTTCTGCAGCTATCCATAAGATAACTCTGAAACAAAAAGCAATATAATATTATGTAAATAGAGGCAAGAAAATCAAAATTAAGGTATGTCCAAATAATTTCAGTAACTCAACACTGTGGAAATCTTTCAGAATCACTCTAGTAGGTATGTATAATTTTTTGTTTGAAATGTGAGTAACTGGACCAAGGAGGTAGATTAGAGTAAGCTTGTCTTCAAAAAATGTCATCACATCCATATATATAGGCATATAAATGACCTTGATGTTCCGGTTTATGTCGACCTGTACAAATTGGGTCACACAACCTGTAAATACTGGGTTACACGACCCATACATACTTGATCCCACATCTTTAGATGTCCATACTGGGTCACATAACCTTTACACTGTGTCACACAAGCTGTACAAGCTGGGTCATATGCCTTCAAACAACTGTGCCACACAGCCTATAAATACTGGGTTATGACCTGTACATACTGTGTTACATACTGTGTTACATACTGTGTTACATACTGTGTTACATACTGGGTCCCATACTGTGTTACATATTGTGTTACATACTGTGTCCCATACTCTGTACATCCTGTGTTACACGACATGTGTGACTTGGTCACATGGCCTGTACATATACTCTTGTCATGTAACCTGTATGTACTGTGTCAGTTTGAGTCAGGGCGAGCTCATTTATAAATGATGTAAGATCATCAGTATTGTGTTCATGTGCTAGTCCCAATAAATCACTGTAATATCAGGAATGTACAATGATAAGCCTTGATTAATATATAATCAGCTGACAGTTCACTATTCACAGGATAGTGAAGAAAGACTCAAAATAATACAATAATTGGTTCTACATTTTCTTTAGCCACACTATAGTACTGGTGTTATTCTTCTCATGGTTTGCTGCCTTTATTTTAGTTTGTATATCAAGCCAAGTTTATCTGTATACAGTGTTTAAACAAACAAAAACAATAGATCATCATAAGTGTCTTTGAAGTTGTGGGACTTAGCTGATGGATATCATTCAGATCACTTATGACGATTACTTGGTTAGAGTATCCATCTAGGGTTTCAAGAATACATCTCTGGGTCGATCTGGCCAGTCTTATGTTATTTTTCATCTCCCATTATTAAAGTGCATGTGATCATGAATTGACCTATATATAGCTACCCTTGTTTCAATTACATCAGCTGTGTACATGCACATGGCAAAAAAAAACATTCAAACCGGCTGATTTGGAAATATAGACTTGTCTTAGAGGAGAAAATTTAGGAATGGGAGCTAGGTTTGTGTAAGGTATTGGCCTGTGGACTACCGATGATCGCTTAACTGGTTAGAACATCATTCTTCATTTCTGTAGCCTGGGTTTGAGTACCAGTTTGGTCATGTCATTTATGATGCATTTTTCCTCCCTGGTATGGTATAGAATTATAATACTGAGTAAGTACAATCAGAGGGGTATTCGTGTTGGAGAAGGGTGTTTATAAAACTGTGTGTTGGTGAAGGTTTATGTTATGTTCTTTGGGAATAGACCATTTGCATCACCTCCATTGTTTATAGTTTGGTGTATCTATAAAAGCCCATAGAAAATTTCAACCTCATCTGTCACAGGGATTTGTGACAAATGTCTAAAATACACATTTATACTAATATAGGTTATTACACAGCACACACAAACATTATGTGCATGTGTGCTGTCGACCATATCAGTATATATAACAAATCTCTGTGCCTGTCACATATGCATCAAGGAGATCTGTCACTTAAAGGAAGATGATGATGATGATGATGATGATGATGATGATGATGATGATTAATGCTATATAATTTATGTTTTAAATGTCTCACAAATTTCTCACTAATTCAGAAAAAAAATCTCACTATTTTTGACCAAATCTCACTAAAAATAATCACTGATCTCACTAGTTTGCACCGGAAAGTTATGGCATGTATGCTTTTATAACATGTTTTGGTAATGCTTAAGAGCTATTTCCATCTCTCAAATGATTTTCTGGATTTGGATTAATGATCCATTCCTCCAGTTGGGTTGCATTTTGTTGTCTTACTCTTTACAAAAAAAATACCCGAGTTTTAGGTACTGGGTTTGAAACTATAATGCACCGAGCATGAGTACCAAAACATCTAGACAACCACTGGATGTTCCCAATGACTACTGTACAGTAGGCAATGTGTAGTCAATGGCAAACAATGTTAGTGTTGTGTTGTTGTTTTTTTAATATAAAATATATAAATTCCCCATTTCAGACTGTAAATAAATGAGTTACTGCAAACAGTAACACATGAAATATAAAAAATATTTATTCACAAACTCTTTTTAAAAATGCCACATCTTTTTATAGCCCACCTGACCGATATGTACAACTTGTGTGAGTTTCCTGCAGGACATACTGACGTGGACAACTGCGTACCCGAACAGTACTCTCAAGTGCATCTAGTCTCCTACTTAAATTTATGCACGGCAATCTTTGTCACCTTGGCAACATATAAAGACACAGATATGTCCTGCCGGCTGCGAATATATTTCATTTCTCGACCTGCGAACAATACCTGCGCAAGACCATGAACAATCATCATGCATGTTTTGTTTATGCACGACTCACTTCCCATATAATTAACATTGTAGTACCTTTTCATATGTATGAGGAGAATAAGTATTTGAACAAACGTCCACACAAGAAGTGATGTCGTCTAAAACTCCATCGAGCATGCCACCTGATGAGATGTTTATGCAGAAGAAACCTAAAACGAGGAACGAAAGTTCTTTCCACTTCGCCATCTTTGCTACTGCTTTATGTTTTGATCACGTGACGATTCAAGGGGAGATAGTTACAATTTGTAGTTATCTCCCTTTAAACACTTTTTGGTAGAGGTATTTCAATAGGTAATATTAGTATATTAAATATAAAATATACAATGTATGCAACACAACAGGACTAGCACCTGTGTACCTTTTTTGTATGTGACTTTTTTATATTACTAAATATTTTGCATCCAACATAATATTGGATACCGAAAATCCAATTGTGCAAAGAGTATTACACACACATACACACCAGATTAATTGCTTTCTCAATATTTTAAGGGCATACATTTTTTTTAGCAAACATTTTTTTAATTGCGCGGACTTCCCAGGAGATTTTTTTTTTTATATATAACAAATTGCTTGAGCGCATAGTGATATTGCTTTAACGATCAAGCAGCTAAAATATTTATCACGTTGTGTGGTGGTATTTGTTATTGGCAAAGTGTGAAAATGAGAGTACAAGATGACGCATATTGCATCGTCAATAAATTTATATGACTTACGCGGATACACAAATAAATAAATTCAATTCACATTGGAAGTTTTTGTTATTTTGTGAATCTTTGTTATTTTTGTGAATGTAAAATGATTAACGGTCTTTGAGGACACATATTTTAATTCAATAGTCAACAAGAATAAAAAAAAAGTTTAAACATATATTGTACAAATATACAAATGGATTTGACAACAAGTTATTTCAACTAATTAAGTCCTCTCCTCAATACATATAGCAAAAATAATATATATGTTTTTGGGAAGAGGGAGAAAGATAAGGAGGAGAAGGAAAGGGGGGGGGGGGGGGTGATGGAATGGGGGTGTTACCTAGAAAAGAAATCGTGTAAACTGCATTTGAATAAATTATAAATTATATAAATTTCATGACAGGCAGCCTGGTAGAGTTATTTCAAAATGAACAGAATCAATGTAACAAAGAAATCGGGCAAAAAAAAATACATTCAATTTCATCAACATCTATAACAACGTACACACATAAAGAAAAATAAAGAAAAATAATTATCGTTATCAAAACCTATTGCTGGAATTGATGTTACGATGCACATGTCTAAAAATGTTTGCATTGACTTCTACTGAAAGTTGACTATTACCAAATAAAAGTAGTTCTCTATTAAAATCAACATTCAAGGTATCAAATTTTGGAGCAGGATATGCGTCTTTCGTTGTTATGAAGTAAGCACTCACAAAAAATATGAAAGACATTTTCACAGAGATGGCCACAATCACATACTGGACTATCGACAATATTTACTCTATTAAGATCATATTTGTGTGGACTACACTACACTAAGAATAAAAATAAAAATACCTTCTGGAAAGAGATCTTAAAAATATTTTCATAACTTCAAATAAAAGGGAAAAAAAACCAATTATATGACGCGCCAGAACATTTGAGAAACATTTTTATTTACAATAGAAACATAAAAATGAAAGTACTCATGTAATTACAATGCATGGATGAACAAATATATATGTCAATCTCTTAACAGATCTTTTCTCTACATTTGTAGAGAATATAAAATATTATATTATAATGCTTAAGAGTGCTAGTTTTCACAAACTCTATCTTTTTTTTTTAAATATTCCTAAATAAATGGAAACCGTTAAAAAAACTAGATTTGATTAAATGAAATGAGATTTAACTTCTTCTCGTTGATAATTTGGCAATTTACAATTGTACTGTAAAGAGTGGATATTTTATTATAATTTAATTTATTTTTTACGACGTGAATGAAAGTTGTGGGGGATGACTGTACTTGTGAATAAGAAAATGTTGTTTATGTGTAAATTATCATTGTACGTAAACTGAATAAAAATGTTTATAACAGATAATTATGATAAAGTTCCATTTCATGCAGATGGCTATTAGATATAGATTCATGTTTGTAAAAATCTTATATTGAAAATCAGTGATAACTTCGGAGTTCGGAGTGTATACTGAAAACATTCCCGTCTGGACTCAGAGTCCGATAATTGTAAAGACTAAGATTTGTTTCTGTGGTTACTAAACACACAACTATTGATGTCATTGAATGAAACCAATTTCTTAACAAAAACTAAGTTTATTGGGAAAAGAGAATGCCCTTGGAACATCCCCTGGAGTGTTCATTTTAAAAAGTAATTTAAGATTCCCAAATGAAATTATGTTTAAGTCCATTTTCGGGGATTTAATTGATGACTCGTCCCTTTCGTGTTACGTTAACTACCGTAACTTGTGATCTCTCTATAATCCTATTTACACTTAGTGATCCTCTATTCTGCTACATCAGATATCTAAATGATTCCGTTGTCAGTCGTAGATTGGTGGACGCGGTCCACGTCACAGAAATAAGTAGTGTACGTGGCAGTGACAGCCCCTTGGATATTTACGTATGTGACTAATGTACAATATAGGTAGCAATAGCTGTGTGCTTATGTAGCTAGCGATTAAGTTCCATCTGTCAATGCTATCGTTACAGGTGTTCCCGCGGTAGCTTGAGGGGGTCAGTTATTACTGATATAGACACAGATATAATCTCTATTATATATATGATTGTTTAGCAAAGAAACGTTTAAAAAACACAATAAAAGTTAGTATGCTTTTGCTTCAAAATGCCTTTGTTATTGTCAGAAAGCATATATCTGTACCCAATAGCAATGTTAAAACAATGGCTCGTGTCTATAGAAACTGTAGGTATACCCCAAAGATGATCATATATTATCATCATTAAGGGCGGCATTTTTACCGAAAATTGACCTAAACCCCCCAAAACATGTAAAATTACCTTATTTAAGGTCAAAAGATAGCTGTAACCAATTCTCAGGTCCCCGTGTACCCGTTCATCTCCGGCGATCGTCCCTCCAACCTATCAACCAACCTCTCCATGGAGTTCTCTAAAATATTGCACCTTTCATAAAATTTCGAATGACAACATAGACTTAAGGTTTTTACGCTTCGACTACTTATATTCAGTACTACTACAATCCAACTCCTAATTTAAAAAAGAAAAATAACCATATATAAACCACAGCAACGTCAGACTCATTAAAAGGTAACGCATAATGCTAACTCTTCCAGCATTATTTAAAAAAATATATATAACTTACACAAAAGATTAAACAACTAATCTTGATTTAACAATACTATAGTTAGTAATAGTTACTATAGGCAACTATTATTACTACTTTCGAAAACGTGAGAGAAGTTCGGTACTGACAAACACTACATCCTCGATATTCAGGGGTTACGCTCACTTTACTTGAGTGAAAGTGAGCGTAATCCCTCGATATCGAGGATGAATTAACTTGTGACAAAAATACAAATATGTTTAAAAGGGAATATGTGTGTGTGTTTGCAGCCATGAAATATTATACAATGTACGTACCTGACTAGGTCTTGATAATCGTTTGAATATTTAAATAACATTCGTTATGACTTTAAATTTGTATTAAAGACGTAGCCGACATATCACCGGAATTAGATAATACACTTATTTGACTGCTCTTAAATAACATGGAGCGTATTCCATTGCTAAATCTTTGGGAAGATTAGTCATAGACACATGTATATTAATGTATAGATTAGTTTACTAGTCTATCATCCATGCTGTCGTAGCTGAAAGGACCCCTCACATTACCCTCAGAGCAGTATTAGTTTTAGGATATGCTCTTAGGAAAATTCTACTGGCTAATGATTAACCCATACCTTATTTAAAAGAGAATAATACGAGAAAAGAAAAATTACAAAGAAGATGTGTTTTTCCCAAGTGTGTGATCTGAGAAATCTATAAATATTTGCATAAGTGATAAATAACATTTTCTCTTCTAAATAACGGTACTGAAATTTCTTTAGTTCATGTTTTATCTCAGAAAAAGCAGTACTAATTTAGTTGAGGTGTTTTTTTGCAGATTTAATGATTGATATAAAAAAAATCTTCATTTTTTCCACTATATTGATATTGTCACCCTGGTAAAATACTATTCGTTTCCTACCGTCTCGGTTAGGGAGAAATTATCTTTGGCTCATTCGGTAGAGCGTAAGACTAGTTAACCAGAGGTCCCGGGTTCGACTCCTAGCGGAGGCATTGATAAAATGATGACAACTGTTACATTGGCGTCCACTAAGGGACTCGGGAGATATGACAAAAATACTCGGCGATACTTCCAAAGTAATCGCTATGACCCCTGGAAAAATAGGGACGAGTTGTTTCCTAGAGGGGGAGTATGTCACACTGGTAAAATACTATTCGTTTCCTACCGTCTCGGTTAGGGAGAAATTCTCTTTGGCTCATTCGGTAGAGCGTAAGACAAGTTAACCAGAGGTCCCGGGTTCGACTCCTAGCGGAGGTATTGGAATAAATGATGACAATTGTTACATTGGCGTCCACTTAGGGACTCGGGAGATATGACAAAAATACTCGGCGATACTTCCAAAGTAATCGCTATGTCCCCTGGAAAAATAGGGACGAGTTGTTTCCTAAAGGGAGAGTATGTCACACTGGTAAAATACTATTCGTTTCCTACCGTCTCGGTTAGGGAGAAATTCTCTTTGGCTCATTCGGTAGAGCTTAAGACTAGTTATCCAGAGGTCCCGGGTTCGACTCCTAGCGGAGGCATTGCAAAAATGATTAACTCTGTTACAATAAAAAACACATACATATTATCAATATTCACTCGACTAAAAGAAAATACATTTGCTCTATGTAAAACAGCCATAAAAATGGGGAAAATGGGCTCCATATGTGCTCCTTTATATAAGAGAAATGTTTTCTGTTATTTTTCATCTTTTGGGGGATATTGTGCTATTTTCAAACTTGTTACATCATTTTCGTAAAACTGAACATTTGAAAAGTTCACAGCAAAAAAACAACTTGCTATAGATAAAAATGTCAACATGAGTATTATTACACTAAATAAGTAAATCTAATGTTAAAAAAGGAGAAATTTTAGCATCGCAAGCGACATTTTGAAATACTGTTCTGGAAACAACAGAGGTATCTCGTTCTCTGGCTACCCGGGCAGACACTCTCCTATTTTCATTCAAAATCGTTACCATCTTATGACATGTAAAACTGTTAAGAAACTTAATTGTTCTCATAAATTGCGCTAAATAATTGCGCTGTAATTTGCCAATTAAATACGTTTAATTCATTGCTACATTTAAGATTTAAAATGACCAGAACGTATTTTTTTTATCTGTTTAAATTCAACAAAAGCTATAATATCTTCAACTTGAGAATGATTTTAGTCCTGTTGATAGGCCTAGTATTTTTAATGCAAAGACTTTTTGATAAACTGGTAGATTAACCTTGGTTATATTTTTAAGCCAGTAGTTTGACAAATATATGAATTTTCATTATTTTTCATACCAGAAGAGATGAAACGATATCTAATTGAAGAAGAAAAACAGTATTATTTATATTTGATGTCGGCAAATCCTTTCGGAACAAAACCTCAAATCTCGCATGCTAGACTATACGTGGAAATAACGAACACACCCGAGTGTGTCGACCGAATGACGATCGGGCACCTGTCAGTGCCCCGTCCAAGAGCGTGGTGGGATTCTATTGGCTGAAAGTTAGCCAATCGTAGCCTTCCATCTGGCTTGTCACGTGTATAACCGGCATTTTCATTACAACAAGCTCGGCAGTTTGGAGAAGATCTTGCGAAGATGAAAACGTGTTTATGTCTGCTGGCGTTGGTCGGAGTTGTTTACTCCGATCCAACTATTGTGTTTAAAGAAGAGTTTATGGATGGTAAGTACTATTTTTTTTACTGCAGTATTTATTTTGTGCAAAAATGTTTTTTGTCGCGACAAAATTGACCATGTGCGCCAGATCTTGTCAAATGTCAATGTGTTATATTGGTATTTTGAATCAATGTTAATAAGTTATACATATGTCGTCATTAGACCAAAAGCAACTTAGATAATCTGTTTGTAGCAAAATCATTATCGTAAGAAATACAGTATCGCCATAGAGATTAATCGAGTAATAGAGACGAAAGTACAACATATTATGTGCCCCTCCCACTTCCAAGTTCCAGCTCGGGTCGTTTTTTTATATTATATGAACTAGACAATTAGAAAATAAAGTGTAATGACAGTCAATGAATTAAATTATAAAACTGTTATCAGCATGATCAGAGTTTCCTCTGACCCAAATACCAGACTTGCATTTATTGACCGTGTTGTTTTAACATGTTGGGAGTCTAGCTGGAGAGACGTATGAAATGCTCAAATGGGATGAAATAATTAATTACAGTAAGGCCCCAGGTTTGGTCTATTACAGTCTATATATTTCTTAAAACAATGTTAACACTGATCTTAAGACGCGACACTTCATTCGTCTATTGAAATTATTAATGATGCACTTTACAGCATCTACGTTGCGGAATAAAAATGAAGAAAAACTACTATTTTGAGTTTTTAGATTCAGTTGTATTCCAATATTCCGTAAAATGAGAGTGCTTAGTAAAATCATCAGTAGGCCTAACACTATTAGAGTATGAAACTTTATAGTTTTGCAGGAACACTTGGGCATTGGTGTACATTTCCACTAGTGACTAGTATGAAAGTAGATTTTATGTCGGGACTAAGCTACTAGGTTGGATAGTAGTTTTTTTTTTCGAAACTTGCCTTAGGGCTTGTACTTAAGTGAGAAATAATACACCCCTGGCTAGGACAAATGAATGGACTGCCAATGTCATAAGTAAAGACTACAGTGAAATGATTTCCTGTAAATCCTTCAGGCATGATTGATGGTTGATGCTTCAAGGCAGTTATTAGTCCATGGGTATAGAACCAATTTGACCTACTTGGTACAAGATGTTATATGTATGAGGAGAAGGATGATTGTAATTGAGGGACTTGGTCATTTAAGGTGATGCATGGACAGACAGATGGATAACTTCCAAACACAAGAGTGACATGGGCAAGTTTGAACTGAGTGCTGGAGCCTTTTACGGAGATGCTGAAAAAGACAAAGGTGCGTATTCATCAATTTAGGTATTTATTATATCATTATGCAAAACGAAACCGTACAGTCAAGGAATAACTAATAATAAATTCAGCAAAGGTTGTTGTAACTATTGGTAAAATAAATGCAAGATGAATGTACGGGTAAGATTTTTTTTCAAATTTTAGTACTTTATGCATTTTCTTTTACAGGTATCAAGACATCTCAAGATGCACACTTTTATGGATCTTCTGCAAAATTTAATGAACCTTTTGACAATGAAGACAAGACTCTGGTTGTGCAGTTCACAGTAAAACATGAACAGAATATTGATTGTGGAGGAGGATATGTCAAGCTTTTCCCATCCAACCTCGACCAGGCAGACATGAATGGAGACTCTCCATACGCAATCATGTTTGGTATGTATTGTACCGAGTCAAAATCTCCCGTAAAGTTACTGTATGTTGGATATGAAAATAGACAAAGACAATGCTTTCTTAGTTGGTTTTGAAGTATAGAAAATTGACAAATTAACATAATATCCAATTCTGTTGAAAGATAGAGATGAAATAGATTCTCCTTGAAAATAGACAGAAGAGTTCTATGTATTTATTACCCAGGGCAAATCATGTAATAGAAAATAAATCGGGTAAAGAGTAACCTAAACACAATAAACATTGACACTTCTGGGTATTATTTAATATTTTGTACATGTAATTTACTAATTTTCTACATATGTATTCCATATACAAAGGCAACATCTTAAGATGCATTTTACACTACAGTTGTTTGAAAATTGACATGTTCTATTCAATGGGGAGCCTATTCCAAGTCTAACACACACTCTGAAGTGTAACTTTTCTTTTCCCTTTTGATAAAAGATAGCAGTCCATTAACTTGTCAGATTTAAAAGTATTTTTCCTTCAAAGAGATTTTGATTTTTTTTTTCGATTTTCAGGACCTGACATTTGTGGCCCTGGAACCAAGAAAGTGCATGTTATCTTCAACTACAAAGGAAAGAACCATCTGATAAAGAAGGACATCCGATGCAAGGTAATAAGAGCTATCTACTTTGTGGTGCTATGATGAATCGACACATCAATTACAAACATGTTTTCCTGTACGAGGGTCAGAGAGTGGATGTCGATTATCTACTTGCTAGATATTAAAACAATCGTCACACCGATTATTAGCCAATAACTAATTATTGACCGATTAAAGAGAAACTAATGATCAATCATGAAATTGAACCGATTCTTCATTCCTGTGTAACATAAACAATGGTGTCTATAGCTCTTTTCTAATTTGTTTTCGTTGCATTCTAGGATGATGTTTTCACTCATCTGTACACCCTGATTGTCAAACCCGACAATACCTATGAGGTTAAGATTGATAACGAGAAGGTTGAGAGTGGCACTCTAGAAGAGGACTGGGACTTCCTTCCTGCTAAGAAAATCAAGGTAAGAGTTTACATATTTTAAAAGGGAGCGGTACTTGTCACCTATAACAAATTTTGATACGAAATAGCCATTTCATTTAGCCTCGGAGATTTGGGTAATAGACATGCAGATTTTACAAATGCAGTTATAATATCCTCAGTAAATTTTATGCTTAACGTGTTTATTTTTAGATGATTGATTTTTTTCATTGTAAAATTTTATTAGGACCCTGAAGCAAAGAAACCCGATGACTGGGATGAGCGTGAGAAGATTGATGACCCTGAAGACTCCAAGTCCGAAGACTGGGACAAGCCTGAGCATATTCCAGACCCTGATGCCAAGAAACCCGATGACTGGGATGATGAGATGGACGGAGAATGGGAGCCACCTATGATTGACAACCCAGAGTACAAGGTATGATACTGATGAATGAAAGTTTTACAGTAGTACAATGGAAATTCTTGATAACTGCAGAGTGCTCCAGATTTAAGTTACCCCAGTATAATAGAATATAAACCACAGTATGAAAAACTGGGGATTTAATGAAAACTTAACAAAGATCTTAAAAGCATCCAGGGTGCCACGATGATGTCTTGATGTGGTGAATTGGCTTTTTTTTACCCTTTCTCTCCCATTACTGCTCCAATTTTCAATATTCTCTTGACATTTTTTTATGCCAGTGTGAAAAAACCTATGGTGTGACCACACAGTCTTTTCTAATTTTTGTAGTTTTTATTTGTAATGTGTTTAACCACTGAATTAAGTTAAAAAAACGAAATTCTTGATGACTTTCATAAATCTATAGCTAAAACCCTCATGCACCAAGCAATTTTAAGGCAAAGGGTTATAAAATATTTCTTGAAATTAACTTACGATTTTGATGTGTTTCATTTCCTAACAGGGAGAATGGAAGCCAAAGCAGATTGATAACCCAGATTACAAAGGAAAGTGGGTCCATCCCGAGATTGACAACCCAGAATACAGCGCTGATGAAAAACTCTACCGTCATAGTGACATTGGTGTTATTGGATTTGATTTATGGCAGGTAAGAATAAACGCAAATAGAGCCTGCACAGAAATCAGTCTGTATAAGCCAGCCTTATTGTCAAGCTTTTATGAGGATAGGACAAATATTTTTAGGACTGATAAATATTATGAAACTAAAAAAAAAATGGAATTTTACCTTTGCTTGCTGTACACAATTTGCACTAAAAGTAAGTATCTCAAAAAAAAAGGTGTGATAGATGTGTATTCATCTGTTTATAACTACACTGTGATGTTCAGCTCTGTTTATTTGACAAGAAATTAATACTAAAATGATTTTTTCTGCAGGTAAAATCTGGAACAATTTTTGACAACATCCTGATCACAGATGATGTTGATTTTGCTGAACAAGAAGGAAAAGATAAATGGGGTAAAACAAAAGATCCTGAAAAGAAAATGAAAGATGCTGCCGATGAGGAGGACCGAAAGAAGAGAGAGGAAGAAGAGAAGCTTCGCAAAGAGGAAGAAGGTTAGTTGATTTAATTATGTTATGAAGAGTTCCAAGTATTTCCAAATTTATCTATAAAAGAGAAAAAACTTTCAAAATTTCACTGTTATCACTTTATAAGATAGGAGGTGTATAATTGTAGTCGTATTGCTTGGAAAAACATCTTACGAATACTTTCTTTTCTATTTGCAGAAAAAAATAAACCTGAAGGTGATGATGAGGATGAAGAAGATGAAGATGCTGGTGAAGAGGAAGAAGATGAAGATGAACACGAAACTCATGACGAATTGTAGATGTAGACAAATTTCCATATGTGATTCATATTTTGTTAGTGCAGTATTGGGACGAAACGCTCATCTTTGGACTCATTCATTTATCATGTGGGGAACTTATGTTTTTGTTAATTTCTACTATCGCGGTGAATACTTTTTAATATGAAATAAGGACTAGAATTTAACTTATACCATTGTTTGAATGTATGTGATTGTTGTGTATCTGTCATGTTAAGAGTTGAGAGGCAAGTGTGGCGAATAATTGTTATGTTAGTGGCGGAGAAACTGATTGGTGTACGATACCTGGGCTTGCTTTAACAGTCTTTCTGAGTAGCTAATATTTTCAAAGAGTCCCTGCTATAAACCATTTCTAAGGGGTGGGATGGGAATTCACCCTTAATCAAACTTTGCTAGTTATAGGTTATATTTTATTTAGTTTCCTTTTGTAGTTTGATATCAGTTTCTTCACCTATGATTTAAGACTGTATTTTAAGTCCAGGTTCTGTCAAGTGTTTTGATCCATAAAAGTTGAATGGTAATAAACACTTTGTTTTATAAAATATGTGTTTGAGTTATTTACAACATTCATGTCTTTTGAAATTTTCTTCTTCATGGGACAAGGTTTGGTATGGCACAGTCCAACCATTTAACATTTTTAGCTCAGAATGGTTGAGGGAGTTTATACCATGGCACAGCATCTGTTGGAGATGATCTTGAGATATTTCTTCCGGGCAAATGTCCGTTTAGGAATAAAAAAAAATTGTCGCAGGATTAGAAGTGACATGTAGAGTCCACTCTGTCGACGTCTGCACATGGTTTCTTTGCCTTTTCCTTTAAAACACTACTAGTCCTGAAAGGCCATTTAGATTTTGACTAAATTTGGTCTGGAGCATGCTTAGGCCAAGGGGACTCAATTTTGTATAAATGGTAGGTCTGTCCCCCTGGGGGCCAAGCCCAATAGCAGAAATAGAGGTAAAACCTTTAAAATCCTTCTTCTACCTTAGGGATTAAGGGATTTTATCCTAATTTAGTCTGGAGCATCCTTGGGCCAAGGGAACTCAATTTTGTATAAGAATTGGGTGTGGCCTCTCAGGGGGGGCAGAAGGGCGGGGCCCAATAGGAGAAATATTTCCACATGTCATAATTTTTGACATTAATCTTTTGAAGTTCGGACTGATAGAATGTTCCTCTGATCTCTTCACCGTCATAGTATTGAACCCTTATAAGGGAAGCCTCCGCCGGGGCCATGTGAGCTTATGCCGTGGCACGACGTCTGGCGTCCATCGGGCGTCAACTTTTCCATTTAAACGACTTCTTTTCAATAACCAACAGGCCAAATATCATATTTGGTTGGTTGCTGGGATGAAGCCCGACAGTTTGCCAAAAGAAATGACCTTGACCCATATTCAAGGTCACAGGGGTCAAATTTTTAAAAACCTTTTAATGACATCTTTTGATTAACCAAAGGGCACAGAAACGTGATATACGGCTGATAGGTTCCTAGGATGAGGTCGGATAAAGTTTGCAAAAAGAAATGACCTTGACCCATATTCAATGTCACAGGGGTCAAATTTTTAAAAACCTTTAAATGACATCTTTTGATTAACCAAAGGGCCCAGAAGCGTGATATTTGGCTGATAGGTTCCTAGGATGAGGTCAGATAAAGTTTGCAAAAAGAAATGACCTTGACCCATATTCAATGTCACAGGGGTCAAATTTTTAAAAACCTTTAAATGACATCTTTTGATTAACCAAAGGGCCCAGAAGCGTGATATTTGGCTGATAGGTTCCTAGGATGAGGTCAGATAAAGTTTGCAAAAAGGAATGACTTTGACCCGTATTCAAGGTCACAGGGGTCAAATACGTTAAAACCTTTAAACGTCTTCTGATGATTAAGCAAAGGGACCAAAAGCGTGATATTTGGCTGATAGGTTCCTAGGATGAGGTCAGATAAAGTTTGCAAAAAGAAATGACCTTGACCCATATTCAATGTCACAGGGGTCAAATTTAAAAAAAACTTTAAATGACATCTTTTGATTAACCAAAGGGCCCAGAAGCGTGATATTTGGCTGATAGGTTCCTAGGATGAGGTCAGATAAAGTTTGCAAAAAGAAATGACTTTGACCCGTATTCAATGTCACAGGGGTCAAATACGTTAAAACCTTTAAACGTCTTCTGATGATTAAGCAAAGGGACCAAAAGCGTGATATTTGGCTGATAGGTTCCTAGGATGAAGCCTGACAAAGTTTGCGAAAAATGTGCTGGTATGAAAGGCTATAAAGTTTCAACTTAATGTCCTTGTTTGATTTCAAAGTCACATGTGTCCCATGTTTCAATCTTTTGATAGATTCCTTTGAATCAAAATACTAGTATTTTGCCTGTAGCTGTATTTAAGGCCATTTTTAAGATTAAAAGTGTAAGATTAATACCAGGTGAGCGATTCAGGCCCATTGCCTCTTGTTAAGGTTTAAAACATATTTGACCCATGTGACCTTGAATATAAGTCAAGGTCATTGATTTGAACAAACTTGGTAGCCCTTTATTCCAACATGCTACTGGCTAAATAACACCACCCAGGGCATTTTGGTTATTCAGAAGAGGTTGTTTGAAGTTTTAAACATATTTGACCCCTGTGACCTTTAAAATAGGTGAAGGTCATTTATTTGAACAAAATTGGTAGCCGTTCATACCAGTTTGCTTCTGGCTAAATATCATTACCCTAGGCTTTTTGGTTATTAAGAAAGAGTTGTAAAAAATAAAATATAGACGACGGACAGACGGTCGCTGCACCATGGCATAAGCTCACTTGGCGATTTGGGCCAGGTGAGCTAAAACAAGAGGCCCAGAGCGCCTGTATCACTCAACTGGATATCTAAGCAATCATGGCAAAATATTCTCCTATTTGTAAAATTTTGAATCCCCACCACCTAGGGATGCTTCCAGTCAAATTTAGTTGAATGCCAACCAGTGGTTAAGAAGAAGAAGTCGTTTAAAGAAATTGTTGACATACGGACGACACGGTATGGCATAAGCTCACCATGGTCCTTTGGATCAGGTGAGCTAAAAAGAGCTAAAATTGGAAAAAAAGGCAATATTGATTAACTTTCATCAAAATATTTGACGCGATCAAAACCGTGAGCTTTTGACCATATATACTCAACAAATGACCAGTAAAATTTGACTTTTTAATTTCGACCTACGAACACCAAAATCTAATCAGGTTTAGAACTCTATGTTACTTTATGAAGGTGTAAATATGAACTAATTTGTTGAGGGGTTGGCAAGTTATCTTGTACACAAGATTTTTACTTCATGACCTTTGACGTTTTAGCCTTCACCAATGATCACCAAACTCTAATCAGGTGTTAAACTAGAAATTAACATACGATGGTGTAAACATGAACTAAATGTGTTAATGAATTCACAAGATATCGTGTACACAAGCTTTCTACCAAGGACAGACACTGACAAAGCAGTTGCTACCTGGTATATATCACCTGTCACTTTGTGGGGGGTTATACTAAAAACAGGAAAGTAATTAATGTGGAAATTTTAGGTTGTGGACCTTTGAAACGATTCCAAACATGTTGAAATTATTCCCAGTAATGTTGTAGGAAAGCATCATCATAATAAATATCACAACTGCATGATACTGCCATAAAAGAGCTAATTGTTTACTGGTACACATACAACCAAAATGTTTTTGGATTGAATCCCTTTCGCAGAGTCAAGTCTTTACAAAAAAGGAAAATCTTTGCCCACTGCACTGAAGTTTTATTCATATTTTTAAGCATATTCAGTAAACAAGAGGCCCAGAGGGCCTGTATCGCTCACCTGAATATAATTAAAGTAATTGGTATGAAGTAAAGATATAGCACTCCATGGTAGGTGCTGTGTGTACATATGAAATTTCAGAAAGATCCATCCAGTACTTGAGATATAGAGAACAAACTTTAAACAGAGACCACACCTACTGCTAATACAAAATTGAGTCCCCTTGGCCCAAGGATGCTCCACACTAAATAAGGAAACAATCCCTTAATCCCTATGGTAGAAGTAGGATTTTAAAGGTTTTACCTCTATTTTCCCTATTGGGCCCCACCTCTCTGCCTACAGCGGGGTCAGACACACCGTTCATACAAAATTGGTTCCCCTTCACCCAAGAGTGCTTCAGACCAACTATATGGACAAAATCCTGCCATTCCTACCGAAGAAGAAGGATTTGAAGATATACGTCTATTTCCCCAATTGGGCCCAACCCCTCAGGTCCCAGGGGGGGCCACACCCACCGTTTATACAAAATTGGTTTCCCACTACCCAATGATGCCCCACACCAAATATGGACCAAATCCTTGCATTCCTACAGAAGAAGAAGGATTTTAAAGAATAATTTGTTATGTTTCCCCTGTTGGGCCCCACAGCTCAGGCACCTGGGGGGCCAGATCCACAGTGTATACAAAATTGGTTCCCCTTCACCCAAGAATGCTTCAGACCAAATATGGAACAAATCCTTTCATTCCTACAAAAGAAGAAGGATTTTAAAGAATAATTTGCTATATTTCGCCTATTGGGCCCCGCCCCTCAGGCACCTCGGAGGCCAGATTCCCAGTTTATACAAAATTGGTTCCTTTTCACCCAAGGATGCTTCAGACCAAATATGGAACAAATCCTTCCATTCCTACAGAAGAAGGAGGATTTTAAAGAATAATTTGCTATGTTTCCCCTATTGGGCCCCGCCCCTTAGGCCCCTGGTGAGCCAGACTCATGGTTTATACAAAATTGGTTCCCGACTACCCAAGGATGCTCCACACCAAATATGGACCAAATCCTGTCATTCCTACAGAAGTAGAAGGATTTTAAAGAATAATTTGCTATGTTACCCCTATTGGGCCCCACCGCTCAGGCACCTGGGGGGCCAGATCCACGGTGTATACAAAATTGGTTCCCCTTCACCCAAGAATGCTTCAGACCAAATCCTTCCATTCCTACAAAAGAAGAAGGATTTTAACGAATTTGCTATATTTCCCCTATTGGGCCCCGTCCCTCAGCCCCCAGGCCCACCATTTATACAAACTTTGTTCCCCTTCCCCCAAGGATGCTTCTGATCAAATATGGACCAAATCCTTTCATTCTTACAGAAGAAGAAGGATTTTAAAGAATAATTTGCTATATTTCCCCTATTTGGCCCCTCAGGCCCCTGGGGGCCAGACCCACCATTTATACAAAATTGGTTCTTCTTCACCCAAGGATGCTCCATACCAAATTTTGTTAAAATCTGCTCAGTGGTTCATGACTAGTAGTGTAAAGTTGACGGACGACAGACGACGGACGCAGGATGACGGACGACGCAGTATGGCATA